GGTATTGGATTAGAGAAACAATGATTTTTCCAAAAAAAAAATTCCTGGAAAATGACGATTTCTTGGCCACGTTTACACGTAGCCAGTACAAAATGCCATAAAAATATGAAAAAAAAAATGCTCTTCAGGTACTTTTGACAAGAAAGAAAAATGGATGGAATAAAAAAATATTACAATTATGATTCTACTGCAGCTTTTGATCGCATTTTCATCATTAAGGCGCTTATACAGTGCAAAAGAATAGCTACAATACTGAGACGAAGAGAACAAATAATTCAGAACAAAATCATTCTGTTGGGGGAAACTGAAATCAATAACAAAGGGTACCAAATGTGAGATTAAGTAAACAATGTGAGCTATCGATGCAGACAATAGAGCACAGAAAACTAACTGAAACCTGTGCACTCTAACTTAAAAGTGAGTGTTGACACATTGTGGACTTAGGGAAGTAGAAGACTAGACATAACTGGATTAGACATGTACAGTATGCAAGCTAAGTCATGTCAACAGAGACAATGCAACTGCCATGTAAATCAACCTGCTGTATTTGATGCCAAACAAAGAACCCTCGGGTAAGTTTTAAAACTTCCACGTCTCAGAGAGAGAGAGATGTAAGCAAGTAAGTCATTTTTTATATAGCACCTTTCAAGAGCAGATGTCACAAAGTGCTTCACGATAAAATAAGAAAAAATAAAAGTGTCTACAGTATTCACACAAATCAAGCCCAATAGGAAAAAGTTCCAAAGCTACAACCTCAAAAGCATAGTCACTTTTTTTCTTTAGTCCGGAATTACATTGCTGCAGTAACTCTTTCAATATAGACAGGTGCCTGACCATAGAGGGCTCTAAACGTAATCACAACACTGATGTTACTGTGAATGATGACTGCCAGTAATCTTTCACTGAAACCCTGGATTTAGGTTCAGTGTTGTAAAAATAGGAGCTACAGTACAAACACACATCAAGACGAAACTTCCCTAATTAATGCTTTTGTTACATGGCCATGTTGTCATGAAAACAATATAGAGATCAAATACTTGTATTATTATAAATTAGTATGTAATGGTGGCTTTTGGCCCGTGGAAACATACCATAAAATATGACCATAATAATAATGATGATCATAAAGCTTTTATGTTGTTCCATAGCCTCAATTATGTTACTTTTTTAATTTAAATTAAAGCTTATCTGTATTTCAGTTTCATCACAGATCATTATATTGTCATATTAAACTAATTTGTCACCTAAACTCCATTTAGTAATATTTCTAATAACTTGTCATGAAAAGTTGGGAAGAGCGCAAAGAGAGGATTAATGGGAGCTGTGAGCACACACAGAACTACAGATGATGACATTTGCCATTACCATCATATTGTTACAAAAGCCCACTGTCTACTACAAACTCATTTTGGCAGCAAGTTTTTTAACAAATCTTCCAGGAAAGTAATTGGAGGACAGTAGATCAGACAAACACCAATTCGTGTGTCACGTTGAAGAGGGAGGGATCCTTACCAATTTCTCATCAACTGTAATAAGTTGCGTGTCTTGTCCTGGTTTCTCTGCCAGCCTCGATGTGGATGTGCTTGTAGACCTGAAAACGATTAGATAGACATTACACGCAAAGCACAAACCGCCAAAGGCAGACAAGCAACAAAGAAGCAAATGACGAGCAAGTTACACTCTGCAAACACTGACTATCTTGGAGGAAGCGATGGGGCAAGGATGCGGTGAAAAAGAAGAGACCAGGAGTGAATCCCGCCCCCCCGCCACATATTAGTTCTGTCTGGTGAATCTCTGGCAGACTGTCGCTCTCATCCTAATGACAGGACGTGCTTAATGTTGGCTGTGGTCAACTGTCAGGCGAGGACTGTGTAGCTCTTTGTGAATGTGCAGCCGTGTCCTGTCACAAAACAGTAATGTGCCATCATGGCTCAGCCGGGGAAGGGCTCTTCCAGATAATCACCTTGTAGATAATGCCAGGATAATCATAATTTTATTTATTTCTAATGTATAATTTTTACACTCAGAATTTCCCTTATTGTTTCATTTTTCCATTAAAACACAGAGGGAAAAAAACATGCAAAAAACACAACTATGGTTTATAGTGTAAAATGTTGCACATAAATGTAATAAAAAAAAAAATCTGTTCCTTAAGTCATCCCTTCAATGAATTCCAGCAGACTGCACTCACTTGCAAAAACATGTATATGAGATACGACTGTGTCCGATAATCAAAACGTTGTACAATCAACTTCTGTGCTGAAACGACTGGTTCATCAACAGATCAGTCAATGGAAAACAGGTAGATTCTAATTCTGATAACTACTAGTTTTCGAATTTAAAATGCCAAAGATTTGTTTGTTTCAGTTGCATAAATGACAGCAGTTGTCTACTTTGCCATTTCATTGTATTACAAATTTAATGGTTGGAGGGTTTTTGTCTGCTGATCAAATACAGTAAATCATAAAGCTTATTTTGACTCAAAAGGTCAAAAAATAATTAATCAATCGATAATGAAAATTGTTTTTAGGCTCAGGTAATATTTTTACCTCTCCAAATGAGCTATTTGCAACAGATATTTATTTTTCAAACTATTCATCTGTCTTTTCCCTTACTGTGCTAAAGGAATTTTGTTTCAATAGTCAACTTTTATTAGCCAACAAACTGTCTAAAAAATAAAAGGCATCTATTTCTTATCACCAGTATGTCACATCAACTCGCATTTTCACTTGTATATGCACTTCACCATGTATATCCCTTGGTTAAGCAATGCAATCATACCTGTCATCTATTATTTAATGATCTTATCTTGTGCATGATGAGTGATGTGTAATGTGTAATTATAAAAGCTGAAAAGAAACGCTATCGTGTGCAATGTGACAATGTTCTCAGGTTGCATCATTCTATGAGGTATGGCAAACTTTTGGCTGCCCTTCCTTTATCATTACTTTTTGAGGAATCTCTTTACCTAACCAAAAGCTAATTGTGACTCAAAATGTTGTGCTCTATTCCTAAAGGAAATATTCAAGTGTTGAGAGACCTTGGCAGATAAATCGCTATCCAAGAAACAATATAATTTGCTGCCTTGTGCATCAGTATAGTTCAGCAGATCATAATCCCTGAAGGTAAATCAATCATCTTACACCAACTGATGTCTGTTTGTCCACACACACACACACAATGCAGAGACACCCCAACAAAATAAAACACTGATATTTTTGGGTCAGTACCTCAATATAAATAATCATCGTCAGTCAAACGCGATTGGAAAACATTATAATGCTATATCAAATTTTTATACCCCAAAATCCCAGACAGTATCTACTGTCATACCAAGGTAAGGTGTCAATTAACGAGTACTTTGTGAAACACACATGGAGGCGTGTTTGTTACTGCAAGAAATGCATTGTGTTTTAACTTTTTTTTTCGGTGGGGTCTTTTATTAAATTAAGTTCCCAGTCTGGCAGAATGGTCTTAGTAATGGTATGCAGCACATATGTGCAGCAGTGAACAACGTTAACTGCGTTAGCTCGTGAACTGGTTTGTATTCAGACTTGCTAGTCCTAGTGTTAGCTACTTAGCTGGCTAGCCGAATGTTGTAAGGACACGGGGTAACGCTGGCGTTTACTAGTAGCCTAGTTAGTTTAAATACGCGAGCAAAAACGCAGTCAACTGTGTAAACTCACACCCAGTGCCCAATAAAGAGAAGAAACTTTTAACATGGTTTATTTACGTGATTTATGCTTTAACGCTAGTTAGCTTACAGTCACTCATTAGCCTGGGACATGCCAGACTCACGGCCTCCTTCCTTCGTATTTAGCCAACTTGGAGTTAAATGTTTCACACAAAATGACTCAAAGTAACACGCATCTATATAAAACTAATAAACAATCAACATGGAATTACCTGATAGGGTTCAGGAACACTTTAGAAGCTGCATTGATCACAGTTAAACGTCCCAAGCCGAGAAGTGACATTGAGGACGCCATGACTGTTGTCAACAATGACGTACGGCGAACGCGAAGGAACAAACAGTACGAGCTGGTGAGTAAGACAGCTGGCCGAGAATTGGAGGAGTGATGCCAGCAACTAAAATTACTTTACAGGGATGTGTCACATACAGTGAAACATGTCCAGACATATCTAGCGTCTATTCACCCCACTGATGTTAGTTTCATTTCACAAATAACGATGATGGGGGTGTTAACGGAAAGAAGCCCAGCACATCCAGAGGAATTTACTTTTGGATTCTAGAAATGGCTTCGTTCTCCTACAAGATTATGTTTCCCCTTTTCCTTTCTTCTGTTTTGCTTCATAAAATTATCAGTATATACAACAGTTCTTAAACTTAGCTTTGACTAAACTGCAGTTCAAATATATCTAAAACGTTTATTAAACTTGGTTGCTTTTCAATCATTCCCTTTCTAAATTGTTTTAATGAGTTTAACTGACTTTAAGAGTTCTTCCCTTTGATATTGCAACTAATTTATGACATTTATAATAATTATTGCATGTACATATGCATATAATAAGAATACAAATGCACTTTTTATGAAATGATTGTAGGGATAAAACACTATTATTTGCTGTACTAACCTAAACATTCTGCAGTATAACTTGTTAATTTATTTGAGCATTCAGTCAGTGTTTTAATGAAACATACTGTATTAGAGGTGGTAAAATCAAGTTCAGAGGAGTTTTTGACTTTGGCTAATCTGAATAAATTGAATACTTTATCACTCTGGATTAAGTTGAAATACAGTTCAATCCTTGAAAGGATTGATTCCACAGTGTAAACAGATTTGTCAAATGTCTAATGATAGATATCTCATTGCCAAACCTTAAACTGTATGTATGTCTAACAGTTTGATCTAGGTCAAACTTCTCCTTTGAATTAATCACATGCACTGGCATTATGTTTAACTACATGTTATTCACAAATCAATAATATAGCAGAGTCAGAAAAAGTATAAGGAAAAAAACTTTTATTGTTTCACTCTTCATATCTGTACAAATACCATCAAACTTTGTATGTACATATGACATTTACATAAAAAATACAAAACTATATATTCATAACAGAATTTTGTATTTCTCTTGTGATGTTTGAAATAAAAATGCATTCTGAAAAAAACAAAAAAAAACAACAACAAAAAGAAACAAAGTGATGAAGTCTGATATAGTGTAGAGTACTGCAGTTCGTTAGTCCTATTTGAGCTCTGCGAGAGCAATATGGAACACATTGGCAAGAAGACAGCACACAAATGTTAATGGCACATTGTTTCCAAAATAATCAAGTATCATCCAAAACTTACCTCTGCTCTAATGTGGTGAGACAAAATTATTATTATACTATTGAATGATGTCTAAAGTTGTCGTCTCCGTGTGGAAACAAATCTAAAGGGCTGTAACTGAGGAATAACCAAAGAATAAGAAAAGAAAAACAAATGGCTCTTTTTTTTCTCTTCCATTTCATCGTTTCATCCATTACATCACTGCTGTGTTGCATTCAATGCTCTTTTGCGAAACCATTGAGAGAATCCCTTTGGTCAGTTATTATGAGTTGTAAACAAACCAGAAACACTTTATGTACATAAAATGATTGATATATTCCCAATAAATAAACACACAGCCTAAACATGCATTTACGTATGTGTGACATAAACATCTGTGATAGAGATTTGACAGAAACAAGCAGATTTTTACAGCTCAGGGAATGCAATTTACAGCTTGTAGAGGACTTATACTTACACGGTAACATGACAAATAAATAACACTGCTTCTCTTTGGACAAATATATTTCTTCATGATAAAAAAAAAAAAGAAAGTAAAAGGAACAACAAAAAAGGGGGAAATGAGTGGTAACACAAAATATCATGGTAGATAGTAAGCCTGACAATGTAAATGTATAAATTATAAAACACAAAAAAGTATAAATAAACATCTAGCAGACTGAACTATATGTATACTTCCTTTTTCTTTAAAAAATAAATAAGCATACACATAATGTACAGTATGGACATGATTCCTTGCCCTAGGACTGTTCCCCTAGTGATGAGAGCCTATCCATCCAGTATAGAAGATAAATGGACATAGGCCATGTAGTCTGAGTCCTCATCTTCCTCATCCTCCTCCTGGTCTTCTGTAATGGCTATATGGGAGAATATATGGTAGCTATTGTATGAATATGGACTACAACAGCGTAGAATATCACTGAATGTTCTCAACAAAAAAAAACTCACAGCAAAGCCACTGGCACACAGCCTCCATTTTGTTTCTCTTTTTTTTTTTTTTTGTCATTTGAGTGTGTGTGCATATGTTTCTATTTATGTGTGTGTGTGCGTGTGTGTGTGCGTGTGCGTGTGTGTGTGTGAGTGAGGCATCAACAATTACTGTGGCATCCCCAATTATGCAACTTCCATTTACATAATCTAGCAAGTCAGGGCTGCAACAAGAGAAAAAAAGTGGGTTGATGGAAAAGAGGGGTGGATGGGAGTTTGAGGGAGGGGAAGGGGGTTACAAGGTGGGGGGGGGGTTGGTTGGCGGGTATTGTGTGGGGGGTGGGGGGTTTAGGGGGTGGGGAAACTGGGGACTGGGGACTGGGGCTGATGGTTCCAGTGGCTCGGGTCTCTTTTGGGCAGATTCCTGAAAGCAGACACACATAACACAGAAAAGTGCTCTTGTGTTCTTGGATTTGCTAGTTTCTTTGTTCTGATCATTGTTTTAACTTCTGGCTCAAACTTACAGGGAGGGAGGACTCTGTGTCACAGCCTGGACTTAGCAAGCAGGTCAGAGATCATCAACACAGTTCTGAGGTATTTTCTTTTCTTTTTACAGAAGAGATTTACATTGGACACATAAAAAAAAAGCACACAAGCAAGAGCAAGAGTGACAATACAAAAAGAAAAAAAAAAAAACAGGCAGTCCCTCATCAATCCATATGGATTTGTAATTTATGATACATATTCTGGTAGACAACACATTCACTGGAAACAGCACAGACAATAAAGGTTAGCTGATAAATGTTAGCTTTTCTCCTATTGAAGAGATGAGAAGTAAGAGAGCGTGGTTCTACAAGCTTCTTATGCTTATCCTGCACACTGTAAAGTATCACATTTATATTTAGCTCATGAGGTGATCATAAAGTTGGTCCCTTGGATTCCATCGTATACCTTAGGCACATCACATTAAGGTATTTAGTCAGGAGAAAGAAACTAACAAGGAGACATTCTTCTACATTGCAACTTGGAATGTAAATTTGATACTTCCTTGTGGCTATTGTTCAAATTTTTTGATGCTTTACGCCCCAGATCGGTGAGCGCATGAGTGGCTCGCTCTGGTCTGCAGATAGGTAGTCTACGCGAATAACAACGTCAACATCCATCGTCGTCATCACTAACATGGCACCAATGTTACAATCACCTTATGCACATCATATGAGTATATGTTCTTATGGACATGTTGGCAGTGTGGTGTATGTCACAAGAGGCAGTGCATTTTGAATTGATTGATTACAGCCAAAAAGCAACAAAAAGAAAAACAATACAAGTACACCATTCCTATGAAATTAGCAATGTGACCATGGAATTTACAAGCTGTAAAGATATGACCACTATCGTAAAAATAAACCGTTACTGATTAAAAACCTGCATGAGATTTAAGGCAACCTGCTCCTGCAGGTCACTAGCATGTCCATAAACTTAACTAGTTTTAAATATCAAGATTGTTCCACTGCAAACAAAATTAGTCTCCTTTATTATTAGTTGTGATGCTAATGAAGTTAACTTTCCCCAGACTCTTAGTTCGAGTCTGCTGATATAGAATAGTGTTTTTTCATTCACCTTCCTGTTACTTTGTTTTGCAGAAGAATTGAAAAAAGTAAATTTAAAACAAAACGAAACAAGAACACAAGAACAAAAGCCAGCGACAAAGACAATGTCATGCAAGTTCTTCCATTCCCAAGTCCTTTCTGCTTGCTTAAGCTGTGCTTGGTGGTGTGGCTGGGGTGGGAGTTTGGGGAGAGTTGGGGTGGGGTGGGGGGGCACTTTCAGGGGGAGGTTTTTGTTGGGAAAGCAACATGGAATATTGTCTTTTGCTTGGAGAGGGGAGGGGGGGTGTTTTGTTTGCTTTTTTTTTCATATTTTGCTTTTGTTATTTACTTACAGTTGCAAGATCCCGAGTGCTTGACTTCCAGCAGCACACCCATAGAACAAGCAGCTTGCTTCATGGCACATTCACTGGGATATGTGGTGTTGTCGCTGGCACACACCGCCTCGTCCGTCCTGCTCTCCGGACAGGTCTCATCACACAGTGAGCAGCGGCCCCGGCTCATTCGAGCATCCCACAGACACTTTTTCCCGACACTGCACTGGATGTCCTCACACGACTTGGCCTCTACAGGAAGAGAGGAAGAAATCAGCACAGAGGAAATCTTTGATTAGATGGATTATCATGAACGCTTTTCAAGCAGGATCAGATGACTGCTGAGTTTTTGAAGAACTAAGCTAGGAATAAAAACTAAATCCTATTTTATAGGCTTAGGTCTTGTGGCAGGGAACAAAAAGTCATGTTTTAATTAGCATTTTTAAGTCTACATGATTTAGATTGACTGCTTTCTGGATAAGAATCCATCTGACTCAAATATTAACTTGAAGCATGTCTTCATGGCCCCCAGCACTCCCCTGTTTTGCTCTCTTTCTCCCTCCCCCTCTCCTTCCCTCTCTCCCATATGGGATAGTGCTGCCAACATCAGGAAATAATAAGATGTCTATCATTTCTTGAGCAAACACAAGCAACTACCAAACTCCCTCCCTCCCTCTCTCTCTCTCTCTCTCTCTAAGACCCCCTCCTCAGTGGAATGTTGGCAAAAATGAACAGTGAAAAACTGCAGAGCTGGCCAGGAAGAAAATGCACTCAAATAATATTCAAAGTCAGTGACTGGAGGCGCTGCACAGGGAGCAAAAGTCTCATGCTCTCATGTCTCTAGCTGCAGACTTACTGATGCATTTTCCCTCATATGCCACTCCAATAGATCTGCCGAGGAGACAGGTAGCTCTTCTCAGGTGACACGCGCTGGCATAGATGATCCCGTCGTTTCCACACAGGTACTGCTCGGGCGACGTCACCTCGGGGCAAATCCGATTACACGTCACACAATATGCGTTATTTGTCTGGTCCACGACGCATGTGGAGCTGCCGGGGCACAAGACGTCACGGCACGTTTCTGTCGAGACAAAGAAACGAGGAAGATTTTGTTCAAACTGACATGAAATGAAAGAAAAAATTACAACAACCCGTTGGATTCTTGGCACGTGCAGCTTTAAAACACGTGGAATCTCATAAGTGGGTGGAATTAGAGATAATATATACTTACTCTTGCACTTTCCCTGGTACTGCACGTCCAGGTCGGGGTGGCCTTTGCATTTCGCCTTCAGCAGTGCGCATTCGTCTTTGTAGGTCTTTCCATCTGAGCCGCAGACCGGTCCTTTCCAGGTGATGTTGGAGCAGTCTGGTGCGCACACGCAGCGTGGCTTACTTCTTCTGTTCATCTTGCACCTCTTTCCAGGCCCACAGTCAACATTATCACAGGTTTCTAAAATAAAAGGTCTGTGTTAGGTGATGCTGATGAGGCTTTTGGCCCTTTGCGTAAAATCACTCTGGCGCATAAAGTGCACACTAGAGAGATCATTTACGCACTTTGCTGTGCGTAAATCAGATCATCGCTAGGATTTATGAAACGAAATGACTTGGGATGTTTATTGTGAGAAAACGAAGGGAAATGAGTGCACCTCCACCTTTGCAAGGTATGCAATTGGGGGCTCCGCCATTGAAGATCATCCACCTAAAGAGCGTGCTGTTAGGGACGTCCTCCTCGGTCCAGGACGTCCCCAGTCTTCCACTACGACAGCACTCCTCCCTGCTCATTCCCGGCATGTAGAGCACCTGGCACCTCCCGTTCTTCCCCTGCTGCAACCAGCAGTTCCCAGCTGTAAACAGAAAAAACACAAGACAACCTCAAATGTCGCATGTTGAACGCTTGAAAACCGCTGACCCAGACGCACTAGACACTCACGCAGCCCGTATTATCCGAGACGCTCCCTCCCTCCCCTTTCGCCCTCCCGGCAGTATTTTGTCTGATTTTTTTTTTTTTTTTTTTTTTTTTTTTTGCGAGACTGTTAACACTTGCCTATCCTATCTGTGACTGACAGCCCTTACAATGCAGCCACAAACCAAAAAAGTAATAAGAATCTTTCGAGGGGGGGGTGGGGGGTTGCCCCTTATCCCCCAGTCTCCTTGTTATCACTGGACAGAAAGTGGAGCGTCTAGACATAGCAGCCAATCTCCCTCAGAAAACCACGGTCTTTAGGTAACAAGGCTAAACACACCACCGTCTCTAACGCCTCAGAACAATATCCCAGACATACCCCCACCAAACAATGCCTTGTTTACCAAGAAACCAGAGTAAAGTTCATTTTAAACATATGCAAATAAAAAACTGAGTCGTTATCCTAAATCTATGGCACAAAAATATCCTTTGATCCAGACAAGAGCAGAATCTCTAGACCGACATAGACACACATGACATGAAGTGTCCATGAACTGGTTTGTTTCTTAAATTGAATAGATAATTCCATTGTATCTATTTGAACTATAAGATCCCAAACAAAGAGCGGTAGGTGCAAAAGTCTGTAGTTGTATTATGTTTTGTAATAACAAAAGAAGACTATTGCAAAAAAGCATTTTTGTACACAATGCTGAATGGTTGCGTGTGGTAAATTTATAAATAACACGCTCATAAACTCACAGTGGACGTTCTGAAGTTTGTTCCAGGTTAGACGACAACACCGCGAGACAGTAAATGCTCATACAAAAGTATCAGAATATGCTCAGATATTGTGGGAAGCTGACGCTGCCACCAACACGGCGTGGCGGCTTAAGTGTGTGCGCCTGGCGAGGGCTGCAAAACTTGCCATAGTCTCACTTTGAAGTGTCCCATATGGCACCTGTTTTATGGACACTTTACGCACGCACTGTCTGATGTAGAGAGAGTTTTATCAGCGGGGGGAAAAAAGGGTGCTCACTTTGAAAAGTTTGTCGGCTGGAGCAAGTAGCCGACACTCGTGCGCGTTTTTGCGGCTGACAGCAGTCGAAGTTTCTCAAAAACGGAGAGCAATAAAAGAAAATTGATGAAGAGAAGCTTACCTTGAACTTTTTGATGTTCCATGAGGTGACAAAGCCATATGAAGAAGAGAAAAATGCCCGGGTGGAGGTGGTGTTTCAGCATCCTAAACATGATGGAGAGGCAAAGTGAACCACGTATTTGACACAGGCAGCGCAAAAGTAATCTGCTTAAGGTGGCAGTGTTGAATAAGTGTCAGTCTGAGAATGCAGCCTCTCTTTTTAAATCTATAAGGGGTCTCGGGTTGACTGTCTCTGGTGGGCGGTCTCCTCTTCTGTGGGGGTGGGGAGATTTTTTTTTTTCTTACCAAAGTTTTTTCAATCCTAATCAGGTGACATCGTTACAAGCAACTTTCTCTCGCCACAACAATTAAAGAATATGAAAGTGTGGATTTGGAATAAAACACCAAACTTGGGAATTTTGCGGCTTTTCAGTCTAACAAAGGAAAAAGACTAAATGTGGCAGTTGATATGAATTTGGTTGTGATGGAGAATATGGAGAATGTTATTAGTGTGTCACTTTAATCGTTTTAGTTTTTTCAAATCACATCGCATCAGTGTGGGGCGGACAGCTCGTTTTTACGCATGGCTTGGGTATGCGCCTTGAAAGCCATAATAATAATAATAGGCTAATAATAATAATAATAAAAAAATAATAATAATAATAATGCAAATTTTTATTCATCTATCAAGACCTTTATTACTGTATAATCTAACAGGCCCACAGCCAACATACCTATGCGGGCATTCCATCAGTCCTTCAAATTAAGAGTACTAGGCTACTTGGCGGTAACTGATATTTTTTCCACCAACTGCAGGCAAAAGTGTAAATCTTTTGATGAGAGTTGCCTTTTGGAATATATCCCAGCCCAGACAATAATAGAATTCATAGTAGTCCGCAGCCGCACTGCTAATATTAGAACAGACAGTTGTTTGGGTTTCTCTCCCGGGTCAAGCTTTTAAATATAATCAAACCTGTTTCCGAAGAGGCTTCAGACAGAGGAGCGGGGTGTTGCGTTTCATTGAATGAAACACACACACACACACGCACGCATGCACGCACGCACGCACACACCTCCACACATACACAAGGCTCTCCACTCACTGACGCACAGGCTGGACTCCTTCAGAAGTCCTTGCGCGACCTCTTCAGCGGAACTCTGGTTACAGCTCTCCAGAGCAAAGAGTAAAGTGTCTGAAGCGCGAACAAGACACCAGCGAGTTCATCATCTGTCAGGACGAGCAGAAGACACTGTCATCTCTCTGTTTCATTCAAGCGAAATACCACTTAAGTATAAAGTTTATCTACAAAACATAAGCATACGTATCCAATCAAAAACTCTGCAATCTTCTTATATATTCACATCTGTAAGTGTGACTGAACTGGAACAGTTACTATAGCTGCCTTATATCAGTTTATGTAGTAGGCAAATATGCAACAAATATTATCCTAAAAAAAATCATTTTTTCTCGTTTTTTAAGGTTTGTGCTGTGTCCATCTCAGGTTCAGGTTCAGGCTACAATTCTTGTTGATGGAAGTTCATCCCAAACAGCACTGGGCAGTAATTATTAATGGTATTATAAACAATCAGTAACACAAACATCCAATGATTAGAGGCCATATCTGATACACAGGCAACAAAGAGGTTTTACAACAACATACATATAATTTACCATGAAAAAAAAACACCATACAGACTAATACAAGCTACAAGCTTTTACCTGTTCTTCATTAAAGGGAGACTGTTTGATCTCTAGTGCTAGATTTAGTTTATGTTAGTGATTAAGGGAGCATCTTGCAGTCTTATTTAAGGTGTGCCCTTTTTGTGATCCAGTTCATAGCGCTCAGATCCAACAGCTGTACTGAAGAAGAAGAAGAAGAAGAAGAAGAAGAAGAAAATTCGGGACGCCTCAACTAACATGACCTGCTTCCAAAATCTAATCAGCTATCACATCACATATTACCTTCTTATATCATGATCAGAAACAGCAATCAGTTGGAAAACACACAATCTACAATGCAACCAAATGAAATCAATACAAATGGCCCAAGATATCTGGAATATGGATTAAAACAAATATTTTAACGATGATCTCCGGCACTTATCAGCTATGTTTGATCCTATGGTGGCAAATATTTTTTACTTTTTATTTTTGTCCTTCTATTGATCTTGTTAATAATATCAAGGAGTCACCATGTTCTGAACTTCCAGGGGCATCTGTGGAGAGATTACTCCGCAGAAGAAAAGGCAGGAATTTAGAGTCTGTGATGACTATAATCAGAGTCAATCAAATAACACAGCATCATGACGTTTCAGATCATCACATATTTGGACTTAAGACTGAACATTATAGCCATCATTTTTTGTGAAGAAGTAAACGTCTCTCAGTGTTTCTTCATGTAATGAAAGCCAAACAAGGTGTCTGTCATCAATAAAATGATCCGTCTGATGGATACATTTACACTCATACTTACATGCCACATTTGAGGAGGTTTACTCTTTTCCATGTCGCCCGTACATCCCTGAGTGAAACAAGAATCTGGCAAATTTCACAACAATTAAATGTGTCAAATTAGTGACCCCGCATGGCCATTTAGGCTATTTAGATTTCAAATGTATTTGTGACATTTCCCTCTTTCAACAAATCTGAAAAGGTTCACTTGATGTTGAGTTATGTTCGACAAATCACTCAAGTGTCTGGTATGATTTGTGAGATCAGTGTCTTTGAAGAGGTGAAGTTTCCAAAACACTTCCTGACATGCGAGTACATTTCTGCCCCGCTGTATCAACTTTAAAGTGTTGGCTGTTGTCCTGAAGCCATAAATGGCATCAGCAGAGGGACGACCAGGGCTCCCTGTCCCCGGCTCTGAGCTGAATTAGGTTCAAACGAATGATTGGTACTTTGCAACTTGAAGTAAAACCACTGCCATAGATTATGATATGGAACTGATGGGTTGCACAAACTGCTGATGCCATGAGGGGGATGACATTTATTCAGCTTTAATTTGATCCAGACTCCAGGCAGGAATTCTGTGCGGCTACAGCTCCTCCAATCTAGTGTGAACATGCGTGACAAAATGTTTTTTATTAACAATTAAATCCAAGGAAAAATTCAGGGTCTAGACTCCATCATAACAGCTCATCAGCGATTTGTCAAGTTAATGACAATCCTCTTAAAAAGTCTGGAACCAGTGAGGATTTCAAGATTTTGCAATTGGTTTCACTAAGAGCAAATAAAGGCAATTCCTTATCAAATCATTTGTTATGACATCATTTTTGATTCACAAGAACATTGCAGCAATTTGTGAGCAATCTTCCCACTGTGACATGGGTCAGTTGTTTGGCTATAACTGCCCATCATCTGCAGTAAACCCCAGTAGGATGAATTTACAAAGGTGTTCAAACATTTCCACTGTATCTCATTTCAGCAACTATTTCAACACTGCTCCCTGTACACATATACATAGAATCCAAAGGGCTGTTTCACAACACTGTAGCGCATGAGTAATTGTGGAACAGACCAGTCCAATCATTTATCAAATTCTATATATTCCCTCCAGCAAGAGGGACTCAAGCCCAGGATCCCAATAAACATGCTACTTATTAAAGACAAATAGCATACTCCACCCCGCCAGATCCAAGGAAATGAATGCTAAAGATTCTGCTGGGCGCCGGGGTTGGCTTGTTCAAAGGGAAAATATTCAGAAACACATTCCAAAACAGTCAAGGGACAGACTAACCTGACTGTGGGAGAACATGACAGTCAAAAATGTGAGAAGGGGGAGAAATTTAATTGTACTGATGCGTGGAAGGGAGTGGTCCAAGTATGGTTCCTAGTAGGGTCAGAGAGAGGAGAGGAGAGGAGAGGAGAAGAGACACAACACAACACAGGACAATAGAAACACAATCCAAAATGGGTCATAATCATGATGTATTAATTGATAGTGGTGTGGAATTCAAGTCATCAGCAGAGCAGAAGAGAAATAATGAGCAGCGCCAACATGTCATTTATATCATGCTGCCATCTTGTGGCAAAGCTGTGCCAGTACACATTTAGATTCTGCAGGATCAACCTTGATCTAACGCTTCACAAACTTCCTACTGTAAGAGACAAAGGTACAGATCGGGTGTATTTAAGGAGTAAATTTACTTAGTTGCTGCTTTTAGTGATCGGTAAGCAAACCTCTGTAATGAGGATGTATGTACAGATAAACAATGTTAAAACGGAATAAGTCAATGAATCAATTAGTTGATTAACAGAAAATTAACCTGCAATTGAAACCATTTGCTGGTTCAAACTGTTTTTCTTTGTGTTACACGACAGTAATGTTTATATGTTGGACAAAGCAACCAATTTAAAAACATCAAATGTTTGGAACCTGAGAAACCGTTAGAGGCATTTTTAAAAACCCATTCCTGAAATTTAACAGGCAAAACTAGCAAATTATTCAATTATGAGAATAATGGTCAACAGCCACTGTAAACAATATGCTGGTAAAATATTCACACCTGACAAATTGTGCCACTAAAAAACATCTCAAACATCTCCAACATCACAAATATCTACAGTAACAATAACAACAGCATAGGTAGCTATTCCATGTGCCCGTATTGCCACTTATCTTTTCATATACAGTATAAACCCCAATAAGAAAGAATCATAATTTTATCTTACAGTATATACAGTACAAACAAAGAAACAGAGTGATGACGTATGTCACTCTCTCCAGGATAAGAATTATTTCCTTCTTTGCATTTAAACTACTGATATCAATAGTCTGAATGTAAGAAAAGTCCTGAGTGCCAGAGATGACAGTGGCAGGTCATGCTACAGACTGACGTGTGCCAACAAGTTCAACCTTTTGACAAATGATGATACGATGTCTCTGACAGAAGCTGTTATTTGTCGATCACGTTGCCCAGAGTTTGTCAAAACAAATGGCAATGCAGAAATAAGATGCCTTTACAGTGTAAATCTCAGGATGGCAACATTTGCATCCAAGTCGATGATGTCATCTAAGGCCTAAATAAAGTATTGTATATGGTTCTGTCATGTAGGGAAAAAATACAGTTTTTACATTTATTCAAAGTCAGTGCATAACATGACTAGTCAATGTATAGTCCACAAGCCATAAAAATAAAGACTGCCAACGATCCTCTGTAAAATGAACAGAGAATCTAATTCCAGTTATCTACAAAATGGCCCGTTTCCATTCATTAAAATGTCCAATTTCCAGTGATTGAGCTACAGTCCACTTGCACTTTACAAGAACTAGTGAGAAGTACCAGTATCCACACTGGAGACAATCCAGTGGAGAGAGAGAAGGCTGCGGTTTCCTCTTCAGTTTTTCACAGCACTTCATCCACATGTGCATGACTCTGCCTGTCTTCATCAGCTTCCCTCTGGAGCTGCTGGTACTTTCTTTTGAAAAACCCAAACTAGGAAGATAACAGATTAAGTTTAGACACAGTTGTAATGTCAGTTACGATATTTGATACAAAACAGAATTAATAAAAAATGTGCACATTAGAGTTTCCAGTGTATGTTATCAGTTATATACCTATAAAGCATTAATGTAATGAATTTACATAGCCTATTTTTCTCATATCCAGATATACTGTATATATACTGTAAATACACTGCATTGCGTTCATAGTAGATTGGTTTTCCTTCTTAAGCTGCACATCTCTATGAAAACAGATCAGGTTCATTCTCCTCTCTCACAGAGGGGAAATGCTCATGTTTACAAATCGGGCATGAACTGGACATATATGAATAAATTACTGATGCTCCTCTGCATGCTGAAATTATCTTCACCAAGGCGTTAGACAAACATGTACCTTCCACAGCAGTCCGACAGCCAGAGCCAACAGCAGCAGCCCGGCAATGGCGCTGCCAACTATCACTCCTACTGGAACATCACCTTTCTCTCCGGGTTTACTGATCGTCAGCACCACCTGGACAGCAGCAGGACAGATGCGGCATGATAAACAAAAATTAAACAGGCACTTCACACATCACACTATACCCCTATAGGTTTGAGAGAAAAAACATGTAAAATGTCATGCTTTTGTAATGGAGAGATTAAAATCAAGCTTTTTTTTAGTGTAGAAAATTCATGTTGGTTTTTCATGCTGTGCCATATGGTCTTGCTCAACAATTGTGTTGCAGTAAGAGAAGAGACTCATGAGTCCCAGTATGTAAGATAAAATGTGTTTATATCATTTCCTCCTTCCTTGATGTCTTAATGTGAGGCACAAAATCTAGATGTTGAAATGAGATCTTACTGGAAGCTGTTTGTGGCTGATGAGGAGCAGATCGGGGTCAGAGGTCTCGACATTGACACTAGAGGTCAGCACAGTGGTCTGATAGGCGGCCTGTCATAACAACATTCATACAAATCAGAGCACTAAAAACAATTTATTAATCAGCAACAGAAGAAAATTAAGGGTAATAAAAGCAGACAAAACAACCAATATTATAAAATTCACTATTGAATATATTTACCGAAATAAAGGTGCCGCTCCAGATCCTTGTTTTAACTTCCACAAAGTAGTCACTCTTAACTTCAGTGTCTTTGAGGATGCATTTTAGATGCTTGCATTTTGCACTCTTGCAGTCCTGTCAGTTAAAAAAAAAAAACAGTAATAAATACGTAATAAAAGGAAATCAGTACACAACAATAATTTCAAATTACAGTGTCTTCTGTATCTGGATTATTTGTAAAAAAAACAAAAAAATAAATAACATTTCTATATGCAGTTTGTAATTTTATAATTCAAAGATCTATAGAAACTATGAAGTTTAATTAAACATCAAATCACAAATACACAAGAATATGATAAAATCACATAATAATAATAATAATAACAATAATAATAATAATAATAATAATAATAATAATAATAATCACACAATATATCATGTTATTACTGCATATTAAAAAGTGAAAAATATGCTTAAGGTACCTCGTGTGCACACACACACAGATTTAAGTTTGTGCCTTACAGCTTCTCTGAGATACAAGTGAAAAATGTTGCTTGGAAAGATGTCACCTGAGAAACATGTCAGAACTTTGATGTATATAAAGAGAGAAATAAGTGACTAACCAGTGTCTCCGTGCCTTTGAGGTTCTCCTCAGAGAATGACGCTTTGTGGCTTTTCACACCAATCTTCAGAGGATCAACCAGGCCGCTTGAATCACAGCTGACAGACCCTCCCTACGGGTGGAGAAGTCGCATGTCATTTATGCAATAGATGCTGTGTTCCAAATCGTACAGTAAAACTCATTTTACACACCCTGACTTAGGAGCAGTTTGGTAACAAGCTATATTGCAGATTTGGTGTCAACTAGGATATTTCTCAGAAAAGTTTTTTGCTCACTGCTTGTGTGTCCACTTTGGTCACATAGAGGAGCGGATTTCCACCTTCAGTAGTCATTGGCAGAGCGATGATCAGATACAGGAGGCTGACCGGGAAGTTACCTGTTGAAACCTTTAAAAACAATTTGTTTTAATAAATAATTTAAATCTAAAGTGAATATGAGAACTACATGATGACATTTTAAGAGACTGACTCATTTACTGCACCTTCACTGTAAAGTTAAACTCTGGGCCGATGTCGTCCAGAGTTTTCACCGTTGTTACTACTTGATTGGTAGAATTTGCCACGTAGAAATTGATATTTGACCGCCTAGGACAAAGAGACCATAAAAGGTAACATTTTAATTTATTTGCCATCATCCACTGTCAATCTTACACTACAGGACCATAATCAGTCACAAAAAGTAAAATCACCTGGATAAAACGATCCCTGTATCATACTGAACAGGAATGGATATGTCCACATTGTTGTCCGCAGGTTTTTCCTCTTTACCATCACTGTAAAGAAAAAAAAGGTAAAGAAATTGTTACATGTAAATAATTTTAATTAAGAGGCACAATTTTTTCATAGAATTTCTATTTAGATTCAGTTTAAATACCTTTTGGCCTCAAATTTCACCTGAGCTCGGTTTTGCGGCTGATCGAGACTGTATTCAAAATTGATCTTAAATTTCACCTGTAATGAAATAACATGCTTTGCATCACCTTCTGTAACTGGTCAAACAAAGAACCTGGTATATAAAAATAATTTCAAAGCAGTTTACAAGTAGTGAAATGTTTTTTTTTTCTTGCATTTACCTCTTCGTCTTTTTTTAATGCTGGGTATCCCACCTGGCAAGCGACAGTTTGTGTTTCTGTTGAGCTGCACTTGACTCCATCCGTCTGTCAATTTATAGATAAGACCAGTGCATAAGTGTTGTGTTAATTAGTTAATTACACTGACAGCGCATTTCAATAAGGCTGGAAACCTCTTTAATGTTATTCAAACACTTATTCACCTGCACAGGTAGAAAAACAGAAAATATTCCTTCACACTCTTCCCCACTAAATGTCGAAAAAATGGGTTATATTGATTTTTAAAAAATGTGTTAAATGATTTGATGATGATGCATTTATTCAGTGTGCGTGTGATTTTGTGACAATTAAGTTGAAGGATTTTTTTCACATTAGCATCATGTCAACATAACCTTTTTTTTTTCCGTTAAACTTTTTTTCACTCACTGGAGGAAAGACGGAGGAGTAGTACAGGTTGCTGGAGAACGTGGCCAGGACCTGAGTGTTGTACGCGTTCTCCTTTTTGTTCTTCACGGCGACTTCAAATGACAGTTCTCGGTTGTTAGCGCTGACCAGAACGGGAGCTGAGCTGCAACACAAGAGCTCCGATTATTGTCCTCTGCATTCATGTGATTTAATCTGTGTACGACACAGATTTAACTATGAGTACTGTCTAATTGACCAGAGGGGTGGTTAAAGTTATCTTTTCCCTGGACCTACTGTGAGCTGTGGGTGATTGATTCACATTGTTTAAAAGACTGTTGGTCTCTCTTTTTTTCTTTAACATCTATAAATAAAGGGGAGACATACAGTATCTAAACGTGAAGATACCCAGATGAACACTACTGCATCTAGGTCCACTTGAAAATGCTCAACACAGTATTTATATAGAAAGGAATAGTAGGGCCTTCCTTAAGTTTAAGAAGCACAAAAAGAAGCAAAAAGATCCAAGTCTACAAAAACGAAAATCAATAGCAGCTGCAAAAAAAACCACATATGATCAAATGTGTATGAATGTGGGAAAGCACTTTCAGTGTTGTATGTTCTCTGTAAAGTCATTGTTCATATCCTTTCATCTGAGTTAATTCACTCCCACATCTGACCTCACCATTTTATAGGCTATGAAGTTGTTGTATACACTGGAAAACTCTAATTTGTGCAGCCATAAACAATTAAGACAGACTCATAAAACAGAGAAAATAGAAAATGGTGTAATGGTTGTTCGGAGTTACCAGGGCGTAACATCAAATAGAGGATTGCCCATTTTACCAGTACTGTAATATCAGCAGGTCAGTTCAGTACAGCCCCCTGCAGAGGCTGCTAGAGGAGCTTTTACCCAGTCCTGTTTACAAATATGTAACATGCTGTACCATGACAGCAGAAATATGTGAAGCTGTGTAATTCGAGAATCTGTTTCTCAGAGGCCTCAGAAAGAAGTATTTCTTTAAAACATTAAATATTCATGACTTAATAAGCAACACTTAAAATTAATATTAAGAAAGAATTATTTTTTAGTTTGTATCCATTAAGTGTTTAACAGTCATTTCATCAGGACTGTGTGGGTGTGGTTTGATGACATTTGACCGACAGTTTTCTGACAACATAAGCAACCTAATAATAATAATAATCTGAGTCAAGGACTTTAAGAATCGGCTTGCTTCACAGACATGCATAACTTTTCTCAACAAAGCCGTGCCCACCTCTAACCAGCGAGCAGAGCACAGATACACAGACAAATACTGAACTCTCTCACATGGAACAAGACAACTGCTCTAACTAGCCAAAAGCTTTATCTTTCTGTACTGTAAGGCCCCATTACTACATTAAAAAGCTGATTGAGAAATTCTTTTCAGGGCCTTTAGCACAATCATGTATCCTCATGACTCATAGTAAAGACAGACATAGTCTTGCCCAGGCTTGTTATTGTACTAAACACTTGATACAGGTCAGTGATTCTCACCTGGACGCCTTTGAGTCTGTCTTCACTCTCAGCACCAGGTCACTGATGCACACGTCATCAGAGCCACAGTCTTTTGTAAAGGGGATCTGAAACAATAACAGAGCAGCGAATTCAGCACAGGATGCTGCTTCATTTTTCAAAGGCAACTTTTCAACTGATGCCTATTCTCCTTTAATCTCTATAGAATTGGAAAAAAACATAACATAAATGAAACCTATTATATTACTACAGCATGGGGTGAACTTTAATTTTGATTTTAGGAAACCACGTAGTGTGTACATCTGCAAAACTTGCGTGACTTACTGAAACACTTTAGTTTTGAAACCCAGTAATTATCACACGCACACCATGTCATTTTAAATGACTGTGCGAACACAAAATAACAAGTACGTTTAAAGTCTTCTGTCACCGGATATGTTTGTTGTAGATCATTGGAGACCAAAGACTATGTCTGATTCACGTACTGTATCAGTCACTTACAAAGAACTGCGAGGCCTTTGGAAAAAACTTATCGAGGACAGGGTTCACATCTGCATTCTGCTGCTCGATTTCCACTTTCAGACTGAGGGAATTCACAAAGTCTGGAGTCTCCTGTTTAAGAAATCATATATGGACAAATGAGGAGATAATTATCAAAAATACTTTATGTCTTTTTTAGAGAAAAAAGTAATAGTAATATATACACAAGCCTTATAAAGATGCTCACATGAAAACAGTCAATGATGCCTGAACATTACCTGAACATAAACCTGGTGGTCTCGACACAGGGGTGTAGATGATATTTTTGCCTTTTCTGTGAGGAAGCGCTCATTGTTTTTTGTAAACATTCCTCTTGACGTCACTCGTGAAGACTGTAAGTCGGCATCCAGAGTCAAAGTGTAGGATATATCTGAAAGAAAGTAAGGAAGACTGTATATGCATACACTCTTTGACATCTGAGTGCAATCGTTTTTTGGGGGGTTTTTTTCTTGAAAATGATTAAGTTGGGATTTGAATGTCTTTCAGCAATAGTTTCCATTTTGGGAAATAGGCTTATTCACATTTGTTAGAGTTAGATAAGAAGTTTGATACCACTTTCATGTCTGTACTCAAAAATATAATGTTACAGCCAGCAGCTAGTTAGCTTAGCTTAGCATAAAGACCGTAAACAGGGGAAACAGCCAGTCTCACTCTGGTCACAAATTCACAAAATGTTTCCAAAAATACTGAACTATTACTTTAAGTAAAAGGAGTCTACATATTCTTGAGAAGCCTAACAGGCGATCTGATTTACCGATGGGTCCGACAGGATTCTTAGGCCTGAATTCAGCACTGAAACAGAGGTTGGTGTTGAAACATGAAAGCTTGCGCCCGTTTATGTCACAGGGTTTGTTGAAGATGTTGATTTTATTGGGGTTGAAAGAAGCCTTGGCTGTGACATATGCAACACCTCGGGACCTGAAAAACATGTGTAATTTCAAAATATCATCAGCCTTGCAAGTTCCAACATAATGGGTTCATCAATGTTTCCACATATTGTGCTGGATTGACTCACCAGAGCTGCACCACTTTGCCATAGGCACCAACTGAGATGTCTGGGAGTGTATCATCATTCAGATCTTTGAAGCTATCTAGGGACCTTCCAAAATACTGCAACTGAGAATCCAGTTTGGAGCCAAGGATTCTCTGAAAAGTTAAATTAACCAAATGTGATATACAGTATGTGTCATATGATAGACAAACATTAATTTGAATTCATTCATCAATGGTTTCTCTCCCGACCTGTGAGAACTCTTTGTTTAATGTCTTCTTCTCTCCATTGTAGATGTAAATGACGCCTTTTTGTTTGTCCTCTAGTGGTGCTCCAACTACAATATCGTTGTAACCATCAAGGTCCAGGTCAGGAATGGCAGAGATAGCCATCCCAAATCGTGCGTTTTCAGTCAGGTGTGGGCCATTGAGGAACCCCTGCTCGTTCAGTATACCCTTCAAATGGTAAGACAGAGAAAGTGTGAGCTTGGCAGGACTAAATGTCACGCTACAGCTCCTTTAAGCTTAACAATAAATTAAATCCACGTCATCTACTAGACAAATTGAGGGCTTATGCTAATTTTTACCTTTGTGACGGAGAAGAGATAGACCCTGCCTTCCTCTTTCTTTAGCTCGCTCATGAACATGGGCGCACCAACCAGTAGGAGGTCTGTCACCCCGTCTTTGTCCACGTCCAGGGAGCACAAGACGCTTCCAAAGTATGACCCTATCTAGGACAACAATTGCCAGCTGTTAATTAATGATGACACCGCATGTATACAGTTGGCTCAATGTGAACACCATATCCTCCAGCGTCAGTACCTGTTTCCCTCTTTCTGAGTCTATGATAGCAGATTGCTTCCGAGCGTTGACAGTGTAGACGATTACTTGTCCAGAGTGGTTGGAGCGAGGTGCACCCGCCACAAAGTATAGTGTAGAGCCATCGTTCAGCGTGGTGACGGAGTAACCTGGAAATGCCCACAAGTAACACATTTACTAGCTGAAATCTTTACTTGAACAGTGATGGATTGCAACTAAATATATTTACTAAGTACTGTTCTTAAAGACAATTTTGAAGTATTTCGTGTTACTTTGCTACATTTCAGAGGGAAATGTTGTCCTGTTAACACCACTATATTAATTTGAAAGGTATAATTACTTGTTACTCTGCAAATTACAGGCTCTGCATGCTTACACAACAGTTTTCAGTTACTCTGGCTAATTAAACCTCTAATCAAGCATAGGTTGGTTGGAAACAAGTGATTTCACTGAACTCTATGTAGATAAATGCCATATTTCCATATGGTTTCATCCTCTTCTTCCGCAATACTTATACTGTAATGGCACCTGACAGAAGAATTAGTGCCATCAGCTGTTTATCTTGAATCAACTCCTATTATTCAGCGGCAGTGAATGGAAACATGTATTCATTTGTATTTGGGTTGGTTATTTGCACTACCTTTGATTGGAAACCCTGATAGGGTTGTCCTGCCTCAGCAGGTACGACAAAATCAACAAAAGCTGTCCTGAGAAGACGTCTTGTTAGGCAACACAAGTGAAAACACCTGTGTCAATGGATTATGGGTGTGCAGGGGTTTGAGGAGTTCTCATGCAAAATACAGTATATGATTATCCCAATAAAATATGACGCAATACTACATACAACTACATACTGCTCTACAAGCTTCAACATGAATATGCTGTTTATACTTACAGGTATCTGTAGTTCACTTAGTACTTTTACTTTTAAGTAACTGTTTGACTCCGACACACTCGTGTACTTTAACTGAAGTAATATTTTGCATGCAGGACCTAATTGTACCATAGTATATACACTGTAGTATTGCTACTTTTACTTAAAGGACCAGTGTAAAGGATTTAGAGGCATCTAGCAGTGAGACTGCAGCTTGCAACCAACGGAAAACCCCTCCCGTCACCCCTCCCTTTCCAAGCATCGAGGAGAACCGACGGTGGCCTTCAGGTAACGTAAAAAATGCAAAAGGCCCTCTCCAGAGCCAGTGTTTGGTTTGTCCATTCTGGGTTTCTGTAGAAACATGGCGGTGCAACATACCATGCTCTCCTATGTAGATATGCAGCGCTCATTCTAAGCTAGCGAAAACACAGGTGATTATACTCTAATGAAAACATAATTATGAATATCATATTCCATTTCTGCCAATACATCCCCCTGAATCCTATACACACAATCTCAATATTTCTTCCAAATCAAATCATTGCATTAAATCTATGGTAAACGTGGTATTTTTGTCTTACAAAATATTTATAATAGAATTATTATGGATTTCTCTTAAAGACATATTTAAATTAATATTAACAGCAGTCTCAACACAATTATTTTAACAATCACCACGGGTACAATCATGGATGTTCAGCCGTATGTAAACAATACAGGAAAGGGCAGATATGGTCTGGGTATGTATGCATTTAACAACGTTAAAAGCACTGAAAATGTAGAAAAGTCAAAAGAGGTAGATTGATTTCCAAATTTCAAATTAGGACAAAGGAAACTATTTTGGCTTTAATCCTGTAGCTTCTACTGCAAAGTAAAAACTAATGTGTCTATAAGAATGGCCATTATAGATTTATTTTTTCTATGATCTTCCACTTCACGGAACACTACATGATAAAGGACGTGGTTGGCTGAGAAGCTGGTAATTTCACAAACCAGTTTCCGCTCGAAAACACCACAAATTTTTACCACACCTGCACATTCATGCTGAGACAGCCTCTGTTGCCCAGAACGTGAAGACCTCCGCTGAGGCTGCAGTATTTACATTCACATCACAAGCTACATTATGAAAACTTATGATAGAGTAAAGTGTAAATGCCTACCCAATAATGAGCTGTGGTTTCTGTCTTGAAGAATCTCCTCAAAGGCTGAGAAAGGGAGTATGTCGACTTTTGACCCTGTTTGATGGACGACCGTCCCGCTCCAAGAGTAGGCTCCCACTGCTCCCAGCATCATCACATCCTTCAAGAGCAAAGACCAATCAGCAGAAACCACAGACATACTGCTGTAGATGAAAGTTACAACTTTGTCTGTGGTTTCAAGTCACTATACTTAGTCTCCCAGAAAAACTACCATAAATGGTGGTAAAGGAAACTCTTTAAGATCACGGTCAGCTTACTGTAAATAAATGCAGCTTCCTATTTCCTGTCAGTGAGAATGGTAGGTTGTTATAGCTATATATGGTGTATAAGCTTTTTTGTCACTTCAAACCGTGGTCACAAATGGTGTTTCTATAACTGTCATCAAGAATCTTTACTTAATAGTATTTTGTTATTATTATATATTTTTACAGCATTAATGTCAGAAACTGGTGGCCAGTGGCGTATACGTCCGTATGTGGAGCGTTCACACTCAACAATATCTGGTGAATGTATCAGTGTTTTCCCACAACTGATAGAGAAGCTTTCAGAAGCGTACAAGGCGGCGATCTGTACCTGCTGGCTGGAGTAGTGGGCGCTGAATCCGACCTGGGACATCTCCATTTTGAAGTTGTCACCCCCCTTTCCAGTGCCTTGTGAGAACACACCATCAGGAAAACACCGGGATCAGAAAGAGAAGGAGCAGAGCAAGAATCAGACAAAGGGATTTTCTTTTCATCCTCCCTTGGAATCTTCAACTGTGACAGACAGGCTGTGACAAGCCCGGATGAGATTCTTTGAAAAGGATATGAATCAACATGTGGTGTCAAGTAAATTACACATGGTATAGTACGTTCAACAACAGGAAGGATGAAGAAATAATATGCACCCTCAATGTTGAAGATGCGGTCCCCCAGTGTTCCAGCGATGGTGGAGAGAGCCGCTTCTTCAGACACATTGAAGAAGTATTTCTCTGTGGGTAAACTGGCGATGGATTTGATTTCTTTGATTAGGTTTTCTGTGTCGATGTTGTTTCTAATGTAATAACCCAAGACCTAGGAAAAAAGGAGGAATCACAGAAAAAAAAAAAAATCGGGATTGCAAAGAGTGAGTGGTAGGTAATAACACACACACACAAGAAAGTATCACAGTTTTACAGTCATCCTACTGAAATATGGTGATGAAAAACAGGAGTGGTGCTCAAATCTATAAAGCTCAAACTGCTTTATCTAAAAATGGTTGCAGATATTATTATAAAACAAAACACACACACACACATTCTTAAAAACACCATTACGACTACTGTATATATATGACATGATGAGAGTGATGAGGTGTCACAATGCCAGATCCTCACTTACAGCGATACCAAAGCGGGTGATGCCTTTGCTCTCACACTCTGCGATGACTTTATCTCTGATGGATACGTCGTGAGACTCTCCATCAGTGACGACCACCATCACCTTGGCAGCGCCCGGTCGGCCGCCTCGATCGAAACCCTGCTTACTGAAAAGAGATTTTAAATACTTACTTTTAAATAAATGGGTGATAAAAGAGGGACTATGCCACAAATACATTTCTTTTAATAAAAGGATAATGGTATGGCTGCAAAAATAAATTTAAAATGAAATGTTAAAATGCAGTTTTTCTAGTTTACAAGTGAAAGAAAACTAGACCCAGTCAGGTGATAATAAAACAGAAAAACAGACAATCAAATAATAAGAAGATAAACAAGCAAACAAACACATAAACAAATAAAAACATTTATAGATGCAGTATATGCATATGTATAAAAGTCGGTAATGCTGCACCACCAACCTGGCATATTGGATCGCCTTGAAGGTATTTGTAGAGTGACCATACACTTGTGTGATTCTGGACACTGCACTGATCACGTCCTCTTTGTTTTTATACTGGTTCAGTGTGAATTCAAACTTGGGATCAACGGCGTACTGAATGACGCTGACCTGGCATGGTATAAAATTGTGTGATAAAGCGCAGAAAGCTGTCATTAATGACCACAAAACAATAAGGTAACCGGTTCAATTAAGAATCAAGATTATCCTCTCATTTATCTCTGCATAAGTTTCCTGTTATGGCACATGAGACGTGACCTTACCTGTGTGTTTTTGGGCCCGATGTCGAGTGCAGGTATTAGTTTCTGGAGGAAATAGTTCATTGGTTCCCAGGGATAAATGCTGTTGGATCCGTCCAAAACAATCACAATGTCCATAGGCCCTCCACATGCTATAAAAACATCACAAGAAGGGACACAGCTGTGACAAATCGAACTGAGGCCATACATTTTACATTCCTGCTGAATCATTTTCTGAGGTTATTTTTCCTGCCTTCCATGCAGCCACTGGTTTCAGTGCATGCCGATACAGTAGAACAATACATTTTGCAGACTTGCCTGAGACTGGTAATATATCCCAGTTAACCATTAGTGGCCTTTCTTTATTTGTTAATATTATATAATGTGTAATGTGTTTTAACAGCTGCAAGCAGAGACACTTTCTTGTGGGTGGATTTAAAGCTCTGACTTTCAGAGTTTGAGAGTAGTGGATGCTGTTGACCCCACAGACAAAAAATAACAAAAAAGTTATAATAATTGAACACAAAAAAAAACATAATTACTTATCGAAAGATTTGTTTTTAAGCCAACTCTAAAATCTCTGATGTCACACTCCAGCACTCGCTTGTACCTGAAGGAATAGTTTTCAAATTCTTTAACCCAGACTGCATGTCACTGTGCTGCACTTCTGACATTACCTGACATGTGCCTTGAAAGGAAGCAAATTAGATACTTAACTCTGTACAAATTAAAACATCAACAATCACATAAAAACCTCTTACTCTGGATGGCAGGAGAGAAGGCAGGTTGAGGCTTAAAGAGGGGGTTCATTTTTGAACATATTCCAGGGTGGAAGTCCTGAGTGCCACACAGCTGTCCCCAGAGAGGACCACACGTCTGTATTAGATGACCACAGAACAAGAGAGAAGAGACGCATTGATGTCACTGCCTTTAAAAGCTCACAGAAAGCTCTTATGTCTGTGTTTAATAGTTGTAAATTTGACTTAACTCATATTAAAATGCTTTTGGTAGGAAATAACAACAAAGTGAAACCTGCAACATTATTCAGTGGACGCTTATATATTTAAGAACCTATTAGCTTGGTACTACTTCCTGCTGCAGCAGCAAATTTACTTAAAGCACTGACATACTTCCTGCCACACACAGCCTACCATCAAACCATTGACTGCAGGCATCCGAGTAAGAGTCAAACCCAGGCACATGTTGTCGTTGAGGTTTCTAACATCTGGAATACTGACAGAATCTGTAAATAAAGTAGAAAAGACAACATTAAAGTTCATTTTGTAGTTATTAAATCTGGAATTTATACAATGTGTGCAATTAAAGCTCAAAGTATGAATAAAACACATCTTTTCAGTTGTGTTTAGGCTTCTTGAAGTACATGGACAATGTCAGAGAGGTAGAGAGGTCAAAAGTTAAACAGCAAAACACCAAACCTCACCTTGCAGATTGAGCTTGTCGCAGCTGTTTCTGGACCCTGTGACTGGACACTTGTAAACATCCCCCTTCTTGTTTCTATTGAAACCACTCCATGGAGCGCCAACCAGGAGCCTGCAGAGGACAACAATATCCATCTCTTCCTCACTTTCACAAACACCCAGCACGAGAGGCATGTCTGAATGTTTTTGTGCACAGTGAGTAACCTTGTTATGGCAAAGATTTTAACACTCATTTCACTACTATATGTGCATGTCATATCAGCCTGTATCATTTTAAGTCTGTGTAGTCTTGTTCTGAGAATGTACCAACAAGTCCGTCATATTATTCTGTGAACCTCTAAAGAAAAATCAAACAAGATTCTACAGGCTAACACAGAAAATATCCACATTATCCCCACATCACAACATTCACATGCTGCTGGCTGATGTTGAAGCCGATTTCGATGGAAAACAAGATTTATCACTATTCCTTTCTGATGGATGGTACTGTGGAATATACAGTACAGTCAGAGGGCTCTATCAGATACTGTACACCTCCTCCAGTTACGCAAAGGGACACTCCTCCAGATGTGAGTTACTCTACGAGACTGTGACTCAGAGTGTGCAACATGCAGACATCGCAGAGGAGTTCAGTTACTGTTTAACTAAATGTTACAAATGAGTGAGGGAAAACGCAAGACACTTTAAACATGGATTGTTTGTGACACACTTAGGGTTTTTGAGACTGCAGTTTCTACAGTATTGCAGGAGTTTACCCAGGATGGTGTTAGAAGATACAAGAATGCTTTGCAACATCAACTAGTTAGTAGAGTTAGACAAATATAATTAGATGTTTTCAGACAGTATTACACTTGGTATACTTGTCAGTTGGAAGTAGAAGTGAAAACATTTTGTCACTGTCTTGTAGATAAGAGAAAAGAGAACTTGTTTAAGAATAAGACTACAAGTCTACAGCCATGCTTTGTGAGGCTTTACTTAGATACACTAGCGCTTGGACACATAGTAAATGCTAACATAGGCATGGTAACCATAAAACCACAAATGTCAACCTCAATGGTGGTGCATGAAGAAAAGTCAGCAGCAACGTTTTGGTATCTGGAGGCATGAAAACAACTCACCACACTGTTACACTACCTTCATGATCAAGTACACATTTACTGTCACTGCATTAGAAGCAGTGCATTCCAGTGCACACCAAACTCTGACCTCGTTATCGGATTGTAGCAACAGACACCATGATTAAAGTACCGTCCCTACATTGAAGAAGACTATTTGCCAATCGTACCATTTGCCTTCATGGTTTGTCGTTTGTAGGACTGTGTAGCCAAACTCTTCCGCCGCTGGACCACTGAAAATCTTGGCACCTGCAGTGCCGACGTTGAAGGACTGTGAATGCCAGACTCTGTCAGCTGGTGGAGGAGAAAGCTGAGGTTAGATGACAGTGACACTGATAGTTTATAACGGCATCTTAACAACATCATATAATTCTCTTTACCCGTAACAATCACACTGTCAGTTACCAATCACTGTATATTATCATTATTTTACATTTTTGTATTTGTAAATGTTCAAACCAAAATATATTCATTATTTTCTCTGAAGCAGTGGTTTCAGCCACAATGATTTCCTCTTTCGTGTTGACACAAAGGCTGAATCCTTTTAAAAACCACATCAGCTTGACTCATCATGGCAAGGTACCACACTAAAAAAGCTTTGCAACACATGACGGTCATAGTATTTACGGAGTGTTAAAGATTGCGTAATGGACATTGTTCATTATGGAATAACGTGTTTCTCTATAGACACAATCCATCTTCACACACAGCTCTCTGAACCCCCTCAGGACGTGGAATTTGGTCCTCTACCAGCGAGTCTTTCTACAATATTGAGCCCACAAGCCCAAACAGGCAGAGAGCTCTGCTAGCAGCCTGCCTTCCCCTCAATAAGCAGGCAGAAGAATGTGGATGGCTACTGGACTCAGGAGACCTTCTCCAGCACAGCCTCCTGCCACGCCTGTTTACCTGCAGAACAAAGTAGCACTTTGCCTCCTCTTGGGGCCCTCTGAGCCCCATAACATATCAATATTTCCTCTCATTTCACAAATAGGAACTATGTGCATATGAGATAATGATCAAAAGTCTCTTGTCTGGCTGCTGCTTGAAAGCTTCCACTGTTTATACAGAGGAGACACCAAGCAACCATAGACTGCAAGCAACACAATTTCTTTTGTAACTTTTCTCCAATATGAGCTACAAAACAAAACAGCAAAAACTACAAATCTGCTCTTATTTAATCCATGTGGGCTGCTTACATTTGAGAACAGATGAAGAAAAACCTGCAGGATGATGTGAAATAATGCAAAACAAAAGCACTACCATACAGATGCATTAAGTAAATTCATATTGAGCTTCATTAGTGTTTAAAGTGCATGAAAAACATGTTACAGTCACTTTCTGTGGGCTGTAACGAATGACGAATGATTTAATTATCCTTGCCTACGCCAGTGTTATGAAAACGATATAAACCCGTCGCTAGACACTTTGAATCTCTTAACTCTCAGGGTGGGAGGACAGCGTAGCGAGGCTAATGGTGAAAATAACAAGTTCAAAGTGCAAATAAGAAGTTCGGTACTTACTAATGACTATTATAATGAAGAAGATATTCCCCCAGAAGAACTCCATCGTCGACTTTATTCCATTTGTATGTGGTGATTAATCTAAATGAAGCCGCCGCACTTGACAAAGTTGTGGCTGCAGCTCGAGTCAGCGATGACGCACCGGACAGACGGTCTATATTAGGAGTTGTGCTCTTCCTCTTACCTGCCCAGGCAAACTTTGACCCAAGTTTTATCAAAGAATGTGAAGTGCATCCTGTAATAAAGTCTTACTGGAGGAAAAGGAAGTTCGGACACGTACAAAATCCAGTTAAGGGCAGGCAGAAGATCAGAAAAAGGAGCCTCAGATGGATGAATGTATAGATAAAAGTTGAAACCTTAATATAAAGTTAAGCTCTTAGTTCGAGTAGAAGCAAATGTTAAAAAAAAAAACAAGTCCACACCCATCAGCCTTCATTGAAATCTCTTAATTGTCATTCCAGAGCCACATCTTAAGTGGACAAAACAACACTCAAATCAACAGTCATATAAAAAATATATACATCATCAATTAAGAGTTAATAGTTTGAGACTTGTCAGCTCCCAACTCCCTGAACCCTGTAATTTAATTCATATGACATGTAGACTATCAAGAACCTATAAACTGAAGCCCAAACAATAGAAGGTCTATTATGAGATATCTTTGAAAAATGACATAAGTATATTTTTTTTTCTTTACAGGAAAACAGTGATGTAAGACCTTTCATTAGAACATGTTTAAGAGACTTTAAAAGACATGCGCAGGATTGTGAAAGGGTTGAAAGATTTAATTTTCAATGAGAAAGAAATTCATCACAGCTTGTGGGTGCTGCTCAGTATCGTCTGATGTCATATTGCTTAGTGAGTTATTAAAGGGATCTTGCTGATTTTACAAATAAACATGAGTGTCGTAGTCGGTGGATGTATGACTCAGCCTCTGTCCTCTGTGGCGCTAGAGGAAGTCTGGGAAAATAACCCTGATGACATCTTCTCTGCCACAGATTGCCACAGAAAGCCTGCATTGTGAGCTGGGGGTTGTGGAATTTGAAAGATGTGGGCATATTTTGAGCATGGAGGGTCAAATTAAAAAAAAAAAAAAAAAAAAGCTCTTAGTTGCATTATGGGAAATGTAGGATCCAGTGTTTTCTGAGCTTGACACATACAAGGGAGTGAAAGTCAGATTCTCAACCTCTCAGTTACACCTGACAGCAACCCAGTCTGATCCGTTGGCCAGTGAGGAGTTAAGAGTAAAAAGCCTTGCTCAAGAGCGCCTGAGTGGTGGTAATGAGGGAGGCACAAGCCCTGCTCTTTCACTTTCCCCATCCCAGATTTATCCTGCCTGGCAAACCTGCCAGTGATCTAACCAGCTAAGGCCAATTAACTTACTGTCTAACAACAAAGATGAGCTGATCATCATTTGCTATCTCCACCCTTCCATTTAGCTCACACCAAATCTTAAATCACAGGGGCGAGTCCTATAAGTTGCCAGATGTTGGGCTTTCATATTACCAACAGCAAAAAAAGTCATTAAAGCCTCTCACTTATCTTCAATATCAGCCTGGGAACGCCTGCATTTAATACAAGCAGTGCGAGCAGTCATGAGGCAAATGCAAACCTTGTTCAGAACCTACAAATAAAGTTTTATACCTTAGGGGCTGAAATGTAATGAAGCAGTTAATGATCAGTTATCAGACCTCAGAATCCAGATACACTGTGGTGTTTGGGGAAGCAGGTAGACCACAGACTCACAACCCTCAGCTATGTGTTTTCAGTAAAGTTGATTCACTGTTTTTCGGGTGGTCTGGAAGAAACAATGCACAACCTTATTCAGCTGTTGAGTCCCTTCACCCACTCCTCTGTTTGAGAAGTCATGATTCGTGTGTAAGTCATCCGGTGAGCCAGAGCACCTTGAAAGAAGTTGGAGCACTTGTATGGTAGTAATGCAGGGAAGTTCCTGGAAAAGGCTAGTCTGTTTCTATTTTTTGATATCTGTGTTGACAAGATTTGCTTTGAGAAAACAAGAAACCAAAGATGTGAAAAGGGTAATGGCTTGTGAGATGAATCTCACTCAATACTGATGTTACACAGAGAAACTACATTTGTTTAAGTCCTCTTCTTTTAACAAGACACTGCATTCCTTCATCTGTACACATCAATTCACTGACAAAAGTGCAGAGAGTTACTACTCGGCAACGCACTCGGTGAAATCATCTTGAACAATCTAAGGAAGGATCTCGAAACAGCAAAGTCTGAGGTGTATTTTCCTGTCAGGGCCCTGAATAATGGAGCGGTGTGGGCACGTCATTAGAAATCCCCACTGAGGAGGAACATGAATCATTTGAAGTTAGTCTGGAAGTTTGGAGACCATTTAAAAAAAAAACACGATAAGCCTTTGTCTTTTTTACTGTTTATTTTAAACAGTCAATTGTCTCATATCATATAAGGTACTTTCTCACTGGCCTCTCAGGACATTGAGCCATACAGCCATACTGATTGTTTTTACTATATCTTCAGGTTTCTGAGCTTTCTGCCGCTACTCCAGGGCAACACCATTTTTTGTGTTGCTAGCAGAATTGAAAAATGACATCTAAAGGATTAAACAGCAACATATATTTTCTTTTCTTTTTTTTTTTTTTTTGTCCCTGTTTGTGTGGATGATCCACAAAGCACACTGTCAACAGTTCTCATAGAACTACTGTCTGCAAGAGAGCTGGGACTAAAAGTGTTCATTGTGACGTTAGCAGTGTGTGGTTTTTTGTGTAAATTTGTTTCTCTATGCAATATATCTTCACCATAAGCTGCAACTTCAAGAGTTGAATCAACACGTCTCTGGCACAAACAAACACAAACGGAACTAGCTAACCCCAAGCTAACTGACTTCACCCTAACCCTACAAAACAAGCCACATAGCAATGGCATTACATTAAAACAGATATCTATGTTGTTGTCCTCTCTTTGTTCGTTCCAGCATGAGTCATTTCAGAAACATCCTGCACCGCTTCTATTAAAATATCATATCAAAAATAATAAAACAAAGTTTCTTAGATTTTACTGAACCAAAGTCATTGTTGTTGCCTTTCTGATGTGAGGAAAGGGTTCGCAAACACATCATGTGTCTTAGGTTCCATATCAACAATAGTAGTATTTGTGTGTGTGTATAAAAATATTCAGTGATTCAGAGTCACAGATTTTGTCACTGTAGCGTTCAGACAAATGAAAGAAAGATATTGCTCTTTCAGTGCTTTTGTTACTGATGAGTACGTTTAAAAACCACATTATAGAGTATAATGGAGACATGAATACAGAAACACACACACACACACACAAACTTCTGGCTGAGTGGATTGTAGCATGGAACTAATCCCTCTTTCACACCCATCTGCTGACCAATGGGAATCTAAGGCCCTGATTTGCCCTGTTGCATTGTGAGCCAGACAGTCACATCCAGCAGGCTCAGAGGGGCTCACGAGTCAATGACTGCACGCAGACACAGTGGAAATGCAACTTGTGGGTGAAGTTGCCATAATGTCACATGACCAAAGACTTTATTTCAACCTGTGCAGAGGCTCTGTTGGACTTGCACAGGTACATTCCCTGGCTTCAGATCATTCTAACAATCCTAACTAGAGGCACAAAAAATGATGAGTGCAGTTTTCTTTTTGTAAATGTGAGCAAGAGGGTGAATTATCTTCTTGCAAGTCATGGACTGACATTCAGTGGTTTGTAGATTAGGATATCATCCTTGTGCAATGCGCTTGACTAACGGCCTTCCGGATGACACATACACGCAAGTTCGGTATACAATGAGAAAACTTCGGTCTAGATAAGTGCCACAACTACTTGTTGGTGATAAATTGGACAAAGACTCGTGGGAGAGGTTTCCATAATAGTAGAAAAATGGTCTTTCATCAACGGTAGTAACAACTGACAGATGTTAACTATTTACTTAAAGCTCACTGCAACTTGCTTCAAGTGGTGTTCTATGACACTCAGTGAGAGCGCACTGGTGACACGCAACAAACGTCCCCAACAAGGCTCAAGCCAGGATTGTAGTGGTTAAACACCATGCGTATTACATCACTGGGTCAGCGTGACGCCTCAGTAAACCGCACGCCTGACAGACATGAAAATCGACTATATGCAATATTCTTAAATGTAACTCAAATGTCCTACAATTTCAAGACACAGTCCATCTGGTGCTGAGAGTTACAGAGCACAATAGAAGAGTTTCATTGTGGCATGAAAAATATCTGTGGTGTGGCATTGAGGTTGAAAGAATGGCAGGGTATTACATTTTCCTCTCAACTAAGGAAGCTACTAAGCATTTCCAAGGCCATTCTGCACACACGTAACAAATCTCTGACATGACAAAGAACTTCCTTATCTTTTCTTAAATGGACAATGTCTTGCTTGAACTGCAGAAAGATTGCAGGGACTTATACATTTTGGAAAAAAAAAAGTGTGATGGTTAATATAAGGATGTGGTGGTAAGAGAGGCATACTTGAGAGTCCAAGGTTGTCATTTTTAATGTTTGGTCTCTTTGGGAAAACAAAGGCAGAGAAAAACAGAGCTGTTCACCATCCTGTTTTCAATCAGTCCGTAGCTGCTACAACAGACCGACTTCATGTGATTTTTCTCAGCTGAAACCGATCATATAAAGTATTGGGCTGCTCTGGTGTGGCTTGCACTTCATTCACACTAATCTAAAACCGGTAGTGTAACAATAAGTTAGTGATATCATAATGGAAAAACACTTCATTTAAAGAGATTAAGTGAAACTTTTATGGAAACTAAAGTAAAGACAAATTGTGATGCAAAGTTGGTTAAGTATCAAAAGTCTTGAGTTCAACCACTGATGCAGTTTCTTTACAATGAAGGACTGTTGACTTTTATAACGTTACTCAACTTGGTCACCAGGTGGTGCCCAAGGCTTATATAAAATCTGTACATTTTAACACACTCCATCCATCCATCCATCATCCATCATACATCCGATGTTTGTAGGAATTTGAAACAATGACAGTACCAGTTATTATAATCTTTTTTTTTTTTTTTTTTTTTAATTATGTGGAATTTTAAACATTTTTAAGCAGAGTAGTGAAGGTGTAAAACCAAAATACAGTAATAATGTAATTAATGAATAAATGGTGCATGTACATTTTTTATGTATACTTGTCACACCTCATAGTTCAACTCTTACTGGCATGACATAGTGATATGACTGAATAAATTACTGTATTAGTTTAATACTCCAAATGATCATATATAATTTTTTATTATTAAACGTTGCATTGCTTGTGGTAAAAAATATACATTAGTCAAGGTTTGCACAGTGCACAAAACAACGTCTAACAGGATAGTTTGACTGCCTTAGACCTGTGAATTAAATTAACCGTAAAAATCAGCAAATAGAAGTAGCTCTGCACAATTCTTCCAAAGAATTGTAAATTTTGTTTGTTTGACAAATATTTGCATTATGCTTATTCTTTATTCTCAAGACACAACGTACAGTTCCAAACTTTGCTGCGCTGTTGCAAAGTATGAGCGGATTTGATCGAATTCAATGCTGCGAACAAAAGACATGCACTAATTTGTCCGGACAAAGCTGCACAGACACAAAGCTACACAAAGATACTAGTTGATGGCAGAGTTTGTATTTTATAGTGAGCAAATACAGTATTTCTGTATTTATTACACAGCAGAAAGAAGTAAAGTCAGGTTGCTTTCAAAATAAAATCTGAGCATGTAGTATGGTCAGATTAAAGGAGGAATAACCATCCAGTCCCATTTGTTCAGAAATGCAGTATGTGTCACCTTATTTTTATGCAGCATTGTCCAATTCAGCGACACATAAGGAGAAAATGCTGTTTTGAATTGACTAAGTCAAGCATAGGTAACAAGCAAAACACAGGATGGACAGAGTGAACACTTTAATCATATTCAGTGTTAAAACATTCAAAACTAAATTAGGTGTTGATTTAACCCAGGTTATTTTCTAAGGAAATGTTGTATTCAGCATAATTATTATATTTAAGTATTTTTTGAATATTTTGCTCATCGCAGTTTACATATATTAGCGGGTGTGAGGGGACAGAATGTTAGTAACATAGCTGAATGTAATCGATAAATGCTCAATATTATAAGCTCAGGTAATATGCATCATATTTGCATTAAGCTGTTCCGGTGTACTATAAACTGCTGATTTAGTATAATTGTGTCTTAGCTCACTTAACATCAGATTCTTTTATGGGTCACACACAAATCAAGCAAATACAATGTCACATTATAAAGAATTTATTGCAGGCAAACAATGTACTATAAATAATATTTACAAACTATAGAACAACATTCCTTTTTATGGGTTCCATGAATTGCTGATAAACAGTCTTTTAGTCTTTCGGGGATAAGACTGAATGCTTTTTGCCGTTGAGTTACCGTATGTCACACTGACTGCTGCAAACTGCAAGAGGTGTAGATATTCAAAGCTACATTCAGAAAATAAACTGGATTTAGATGCACAGCATTCTCAAGATTATAAATTATTTACTTAAAACATTAAAAAATTCTCAAAATGTTGACTTTAACCCCCAAAAGAAATGTTAAAAAAAAAAAAAAAGTTGTTTTGTCCCAGTTTGTGACTGAATTAAAGTATTCGTTCCTGTTATAATGCTAGAACTCATTTCCTAAACTGCACAGCCTTTCACAGAGTTTCTGACCACTTAAGTGAAGTGCAGCCAGATTAACAGGTGAATAGCCTTTAATAAAGTATTTAATATTGGCAACCTGACCATAGACACAATGTGACAACAGTGGAAATGTAGGCTGTGTATGCATTTTATGTAGGTATGTAGTAAAAACAACCACCTCACCCATCTACAGTGTGTTTTACATAAAGATAATGCATCTCTGACGCTGATTTGAGATTTTTGGCCTTTGACTTATGCATGGGGGTATTAATTAGAATCTAACAAATTTTCCACACAATTTGATGAAACTTATCCGCCTTCCAGAAAATAACTCAAAAAAAAATCCACAGCACACTATTTCCCTCTTGGCGTTTAGTTCAGGCGTAAATGAAAGAAATTTTTAAAAGAATTCAAAACAACAAAGAGAGAACTTTCATTTTCCGAAAAAAAGTTTTCATACTTTAACATTTTGAACAATTATCCCATTGATTGTCCCCATTCTCTAATCCACACTGACAGAAAAAAATGTCAGAAGTGCAACTATGAACAGCTTTTTGTTAAAATGCTTGTTTGCAGTAAAATTAATGTTTGAACCTATCTTCTGCTAGTTTCCTTTGCTTTTCAACATTCCAGCAAGTTGAGAGTGAAAATTACAATATGTGCCTGTTGAGTCTCACAGATTTTCACTGTCACGTCATTGTTGTCGTTTCCTCTCTGATTCTAAACAAAAATTCTCAAAAGCTTCTTCTATCTCAGGCTCCATCTCATCTTCAAAGTCGTATCTGTGAACACAACACAATCAGTGATTTAGAGGCTCCTTTTTTAGATCTTTAAGACAAATGTGCTCCTCAACGTAATTGATAGTTTCTGTAACTACTACAGAGATACACAATGCACAGACGCACAAAAACACAGACACACACACAGTTCTGAGAGAGGGGACAGGAGCAAGTTAAGCCCTCTTTCACATCCAACTGCTGACTAAACTGAATCTGAGGCCATGGTCGACCCTGTTGCATTGTGGGCCGGTCAAACACATTTGCCAAGCTCAGGGGCCAATGGGTTAGTCGTGGTCATATGACCTGTGTGAAGCTGCCATGCAGTCACATGACGGAAGATGTGCCAGCACAGTGGTGCTGATGAACTCTTACAGGTTTAAATCAAACCATAAACTAGTGATGAGTAACACAGATAATAACTGTAACATCATCATTACAGAAAAATTCATCTTCAAAATGCAATTATAGTGAAATTTGTTCAACTTCATCCTTAACACATGCACTACATCTGAAATATATGTATATGAACAATTCCATTCAAATAAACACTCAGCTTCTGTGTCCAAGAATTAGAATGGATTATTGTATTAATGCTTTACGAGCATCTCTGTTTCACACTCAGATTTGCACATTATTTCTACTGTAGATGCTTTAGTTTGCTAATAAAACCAATAAAAATTGTTAAAATAACAAGAAAGCAGTAATTAAACCATGGCAGTAACTTGTTTGTTCAGAGTGGAATTATTTTGAAGGTCAGTCTAACAGCGATGATGTGTTTGGAGCTGGTGGCAGAAAGTGACCGTGTCAATTTGGTTCGTTTACATGCTACTTCTTACACGCTGCCAGCCTTGTGGTTGCTGCCATTACTAATTAATTGTTATTAACTACATCATTGATTTTGCCTCCGTGTGTGATAAACAGTGGAGATTTCATCAGTCCAGTCTGTCTATTTAATGGTTTACAACCATAAACATCTGCGTTTCGCTTCAAATGGCGTCTTTCACAACTTTGTATTCTATTCTTTGCATTCTGACATCAAATGGCATAACAAGACTTTTTTTTCCCTCTCATTTCGAGGATCTCGCATGTTTCACTCTATTTGTTCTCGCTGTTTTTGACTTGCATTGATTCAAGGTACTTAAATAAGATGCGGCAGTTAAATCTTTGAATGGTATCCATAGCAATGAACATCAACAGGTCCCCCAATAAGGTAGTTGTCTGTGACCTAAAAGAAAGGCATGTATGACCTATCTATATTATTTTATCCCTACAATGTGTACTTACTCTTCATTTCCATTTTCTCCATAGATATCATGGAAATAGTCCTGTCTGTCCATAATCTCTTGGTATTTCTCAGCATATTCTGTAAAAGCAGAGGGACAGACATTCAGGCACAAGACATGCTGCAACATGATTTCCATTTAAAGTAGGGGTGAACTGCTTTTATCTAGCATGTAAATGACTTATTCCATTTATTTCTATTTATAGTATTTCTATAAACGCTGGTTTCATTTTGAATTTTGATATTTAGTCTTATACCCTTTTTTCTGTGCATGAACTACACAGAAACCACTTTACATTATTTCAATGTTTTCTTTTATTATCTCTCCTGAGCATAGACATGTTTAAGTAGCTCACCTGGATCTGCTGCTGTAAAAGGTGTGCCATCCTCTGTGTAAAAAGTAGGTTCATTCTGGGAGGAAAAAAAACAAACATGACAAACAGAAAAACAGAGACTATAAAAAAATGTTGAATAAAAAAAAAAACAAAACAAGAAGAACAATGGTGAGTATGGTACAGTTGGCACTCACCATGAAGTAGTTGGGGTCATTGTCTGGTGTAGCGTTGCTAGCTGCTGGAGCAGCACGGACTCTGCCCCAGTCGCTGGACCTCAGCTCCACAAGTTTTAGAAGCATCTGTCTGACATCCCTGAAGAAAAATCAAAACCTCTAACTACCGAATGTCAACGGGGGTTTTACAGCCTTTTGACATGGCTGTCTTTTGAATGATGGAACATAATCCTGATGGTGTGGTGTGTGGTGTGTGTGTGTGTGTGTGTGTGTGTGTGTGTGTGTGTGTGAACCAGAAGCTAAAAGTCCATGCATTTTGATATAGTCTTTTTTTTAAACCTAAAGTTACCTGAAGCATACCCCTTGAGTATGAGCTGCTCCCGAAAAACCATATTGATATACACACCTGCTGCAGGCAGCATCCAGTAGAATAGTTTCTATTCTGTGGATCAGTTCTTCCATGTGTGGTTGTTCATTCTCTTTCCACGCATCATCCAGGACAGAGCCGGTAAGCTTTAAATTCAAACACATTCTCATTACCTCCGCAAATGATAAAACTATCTGGAAAGCTTACTATACAAATCTGTAAACGTGTCCATCTGAGATATGAAACCTTGAGCAGTTTGACAGCGCAGATGAGGTTTGCATCCACAGGATTGGAGAACAGACTGGTCATCAGCTCTTTCAGAGCAATGAGGAGGATCTCTGCTCTGTTTGGCTGCCCTTTCCCACTCTTTACCTAAACAAACACCAAAACAGATCAAACTGCAATCTGTATACCTTTTTGTTTTTGTCAGTCAGTCATTGGTTGACATTTAAGTCAGAGTAGTATTCTGGTGTTGGTGGTTTATTTCTACAATTTTCAAAGCTGGACAGCTCCTGAACTAAACATCACAACAAAGCAGAGTACACAACCAACAGCAGCGCCACACATCCAAAACCCATGGCAGCAATTCAAGCTGGGTGTACCAAATCAAGCACGACATGACAAAGCAATATATACAGCCATCTAGATAATGTGATAAAATAGGAAGTATGTGATTTATGTGTTCTAATGATCAATTCAGTAAATTGCCACTCAGGCAGCAAAAGTATCCACCCATAAAAAACTAACAGTCGAAAGCAGGGATTCAAAAAAGAAGCCATTATTATGTAGTATTATGGTGAAATTAATATGTTGAAAATTCAACTTTTGGAATGATAATTCTGTTTAAAAGAAAGCCTTATATATGTCACCACACCAGGCAAATGAGCATGACCTCTTACCTCCAGGTGCAGGTAGAGCTCTCCCAGAAAGAGCACAAAGGAGTGGAATTTCTTTTGAGTGTCTGCGTCTCCTCGAACAGCTACATCCCTTTGTTCGTACTCTGTTCGACACCTACAGCAGACGACATTCTTACTTTTCAAAAAGAGAGTTTTAATGAAAGACACATGAAATTCAGTGGAAAAAGAAATAAAATAAATCACCTTTTCAGGAGCAGCTGACGAAAGTTGCCACTTGGTGGGCTGACAGCAAGGTGTTGGGACAGGTAGTTACAGAGTCTGGCACCCGTGTAAGAGAAGTTTGGAATGGCAGTGGACTGCAATGAAAAGAAAACTTAATACCCAATATACAATTGTGTGTTCTTTCCAGAAACATGCATGTATATTATAGTTAGTGTGTATGCTGTGCTTAGCCAGGTTTGGTTTAAAATTGAGGACTGAATGTGTAACTTCAAACCTGTGTGTAGATCAGTTCCACCAGCTCCTGCAACAACTCTTCAGTAGTAACCCAGCTATTGAGTATGCCAGTTATGTATTCAACATCCGACTCAAAGGACCCGGGTGAGGAGCTCAGGTGGCCGAGAAAGTCTGTGACCATATCAGCCAAGGTTGGTTCACCGTAATAGATTTCACTATCATCACAATTGGGGTCCTACACAAAAAAAAAAAAAAACATTTAATAGAAAAATCCAGAGCACCTAGTCATGGTAATGCAAAACCATTCATGAGTAACAAATTAAATACCGAAATTAACATGATAATCTGATCTTTACAACCGTGGAGTCCAGAGTCCTACTTGGACAGTAAAAGCAGAACTATAAACAGAACCATGACCATACAATGTTTAAAAAACTCTAATACTTTCCATATAAGTGCAGTGATGGTGTAAAAATTCTTCTTACCTCATACGGGATAATTCCAGAGGGGACAAACTCTGGAGCACTGGCTGAAAGCTTTGATGACTTGACCACAGAATCCACTTCGTTACACTCTTTGGAGGCAGACATACTGTTGGTATTTGTACTTTGTTGGGTTTTGCTTTGTCTTTTACATTCTGAAACAGAAAGAAGAAAGATGTTCTCAGGCTTTCTGATACGTGAAAATACCCATGCCACATAGGTAGTTATTGAGAAGGCTCACAAGAGTCTATATTTTTTGGTATTGAAAGCCATTCATTCCTGCCAAAAACACAGCTCTTAAAAAAAAAAAAATGGGTCACATATAAATTTCCTTTTTAAAAAAGGCTGAGTAATATAACAAAACACCTGAGGACAGATTTGGTGCACTAGCAATTATTTATAGCAGGAGGAAGATGTATGATGGATCGACTCAAAAAAACTGCAGTGTCCAAGTTGATGGTCATGAAGGAACATGTCATCCAGGGATGATGTTGTAGCTCACTGATTTTTGGACAATTAAAGAGGTCTGTGGCACAGAGGAATACGCTATACCAGGCTTTGGATACACAGACAGTACTTAGTGGAATCAGTTCATTGTTGTTTTTTTTTCATGGGATTTGATGACAGTAAGAGAAATATTGATTAACTTTATCATCCCAGAGGGAAACTGTTTAATATACACTACAAACACATACACTGAAAAGACAATCAAAAGACATTCAATGACACAAGACTTTATACTATGCAGAAACTAACTATAGCCCTGTTGTGAGTACTTGGAGGGCCACCCATAGACTAATGTTGGCAATAGTGTGTGTGCACCCCAAACTCCTAGACTTTAATCATTCAAGTCCAGGCTGCCCATGAACTATAGTGATGGAGTGATATGTTTTTCAGGAGAAAATACATCCAACATTTTTCATCCATGCTGGCTGATACTGATTTGCTTTTGTGAGACTTAATATACATGCAGTTAAAAACTGGTTGTGCTTTTCAAAACTGCTTGTGTAATCACATGGTTTTGACCATGACCACAGTTTTATTGTGTTACAGCACTGACAGGTGTGTTAAGTGACAGTCCTTTAGAAAATCACAATAGGGCTTCAAATCGTCATTCTGATAGAGAGTTTGGCAGCTGATAGCTAAAGAGTATTTATTTTTTTGATACATCTACACTGCAAACCATCTCATTGGTACTTTACTAGCTTACTCCAGGGGTGGGTGGATCAATCTCCAAAGTACTGATACTACTCTTGAAAGGTCTTGTTTTGAGCATGGATACTGGGATCAACAGGATCAGCACAAAAAAAGAGCCATCACATGTTAAGATACATCCTGGGCACATGAAACCTCTTCTCAGTGCTGCAATATTTCTATCTCTGCTGCTGTTGTGTGCATATGTGCAGCAATCATCTCTTTTAGTTCAGAGAATTCACATAATGAAGTTTTATTATGTACCACTGAGAACTGTGTTGTGTTTACAACATTCATGTGATGTAGTTATTGACAGAGAATAGTAAGAAAAAAAAAAAAGCCTCATGCCCAGCAAATTAAAATATATTCAGAATAAGAAGTATCGATATCGGGATTGATTATCAGTCATCCTAGCCATGGAATTTCTTTCTATTGAAACGAAACCAAGTGTGTGGTGTCACCCACCCCTTTCCTATTCCTTAACGACAGCCTCTTGTATTAAAAGGGAAACTGATTCTTCCCCTTTGCTGTGCGTTGCTAATTCAGGTTAGCTGTAGCGAAACTCAGGTTTTCGCTGGGTAAGACAACCTTAAGTGTGGCACGTAACTAGTCAACTATGTGACATCCGAGTGGGAGCTTTATATAGATGTTGCGTTACCTCACATGAAATAACAATCCAACAGGTGCACGTCGCAACGCCAAAATATTAAGGTTAGCTAACATTAATGGCATTTAGCAGCTAGCTTGCTAATGACAGCTCCAGATTTAGACCAGGTTAAACGAGTAAACCCCTACGCTTGTCAGAGGAACAAACAGCCCGAGAAAATATTGTTGCTACTTTTATATGCAAACACTGCGCCATTTAAGTTACCAATAATGAACTCTGAAAGTAACATTAGCTAGTCAACTTAGCTCCGTTATCGTTGGTGTTAGCTAGTTAACAGCTCCCTACCTCCACCGACCATGTCATTGGCCGTGCTAATGTTGTTCTCGGCAAAAGGCGGGGATGTTCGCGGCTGTCTCAGCGGTTCCCTTTGGTTGAAAAGCGTGGTTTTGGTGTCGCCGTCCCCGGCGGTAGACATGACCCCGGAGTCTGCTGGAAGATTGCGGGTTCTCCCTGCTCCGGGAGCTCGGTCGAAATTCTGATTCATGACTGCCAACCTCTACTCTCGAAGCAGCATCAGAAAAAGATGGAAAAATGTCTTTCACCGTTTCAACTGACGTTTTTATCTTTTGTGCAGCGGCAATTGCAAAACACGCCCTATCTCTCTTTCATGGTGGCTTTTCCTCGATCGGATAGTATCACAGTATATACACAACTTTTTTTGGCCACTTCCTCTAACAACAAACTCGCTGTCGCTGATTATCAATGACAGTGTTTGATATCAAAATACAACTGTCTCCCTCTGGTGGCGCGGAGTGGAAGCGCTACAGCCATGACTGATTCATGGTGCCGCCTCAAATACATCATGGTATCATCAGTGTTGGTAAGAGTATTGACATTCTGTATTTAAATAAATATAGAAATGTATTTTTTAGGCAAAAGGGTTATGTATTTTTATATATTCTTTGCTGGGGGCAGTGTTGTATGCTATACATTATTTGAGAGAGTAGGCAAGGGTCTTGTAACTTTCATGTAAATTTTCTCCTTTCAGATTTCTTGTTACCTTTTTATATTTGCAGTAAAACAAATAATAAAATGAAATTAAAAAATAGGAGAAGGTCCAAAGAAAACAATAAAGACTTTACTTCAATTTCCATAAAATTGAGTATAAGATTCAGCCCCTCTCACCAGCCCAATAATTTTCATACCATCCCTAAAAGTATTACAATTTTACTTAAAGCGCTCATCATGAAAAAACAAAGCCACCTGTGGTTGTTATCATAAATTGTATTATTGTATTTTTATTACTGATGTTTTCATGTACAATAGACGTTTTACTATTGTAGTTTTTCCATGTTTTGCTAATTTCAACCATTGTTGGGAAGTTTATGACGGGTGTTTTTTAAAGATGATTAGAATTTGTTGAGTAAAAAGTCTAATATTTTTCCCTAAGATGTAATGGAATAGAAGTATAAAGAAGGGTGAAATAGGAATAGGAATATTGGCTCCTGACTATTATCTAATATAACTGTGGAAAAGTTACCTATGGAAAATTCTGTAAGTTATATCTGTTCACACATTTATTGATTTCAGTATTTATGAATTTTACCTTGTATAAGCCCTGTCTAAATGCTGTTTGAAAAAAAACAAACAAACTCCCCTACACTGCCAGGAATTCTGATGGAGAAATACTAAATCTCTTTCTTTTATTTTAGTTGACTTTATTTTTGCTGTCAGTCACAGTCACATTTAAAGAAAGAAATGTGTTTGTTTTTGCACTAAAAACCCTGTCTAATTTATTTTTTAAATCACCAAATTCCCCAAATCATTGAGGATGTGACCTCAGTGTCCTTAACGTTGGCTGCTGCCCTGTTTGTGGGGGTGAGGCAGTGGTTGTCTGCACAACATGAGTATATTAGTAATAGGCTAAATAACCTCATATTCATTCAAGATATTTATTAAAGCACCAAGGGTTTGATAATTACATTTAAGCGATATATCAGACACATATTTATCCTTCCCAGAGAAGATTCTGGACCTGTTTAACCCCCTCAGACGTGCCTCTCTCCCCGAGCTCACTCAGTAGCTGCCCACTACAAACATGTGTTGCACCAGACCTCTCAGTGTAAGTATTCATTAGTTGTTTTAGCCTCCAGTCATTTTCCACTTGTTTCCCAAAGCTGGATCACATTATGCCACAGAGAATTCCCGTGCCAGAAATGCAGAGACCCACTTTGATAAAAGATTACTGCCCCTATTTTCTGTTATTGCTGTTTTTCCCCTGATGCCAGTGTCTTGGAGAGAGTTCAAACATTCACAAGTCTTGCAAATGCACATGATGACAAATGCCTTTGGACCAGGTTACTGTGAGGCTAATATTCATCAGTACACATCATATCTGTCTGTTATGTATCTGGTGATTTATTGGCTGTTTCATTATATTACATAAAGAGTGATTAAAGACAAATCAGTGCTACTGAATGTGTTGTGGTTTCTCTGAAATGCTATGTCTTCTTTTGGTAACTTTTATCCTATTTAGAAAAGAGTTAAGACAAAGAAATATATATAATTAAAACATTTCTAAAATATACAAATCAGCATGAAAACATCCACATCTGTTTATCTAAAGTCATTAAAAAAAAACAAACTACACACAAAAGCCCTCAGCTGAACTTCCGAATGTTTCTTTTATCTTACCTAAGAATGTGGCCTCAAAGTTGCAACAGCCATACACATTGCACAATCACTAGAGAGAGCCGAGAAACTGTATCAGACAGCGATGTGTACGTTGCAGACATGAAATAGTATTCCATATGTTGCCATTGGCCCTGACAGTCATGGTGGAATGCTCTGTAGCATTCCTCAGTATTAATCAGTTGTTGCGGCGATTCCTTAAACATCTGTTAAAGGACAATATACTAGCAAAAGCTTTCCTGTACTCTGGATTCCTATAGTTCAGACCACTCTCTTTCTCTCTGACCACAGTCACGGGCCAACTTGGATGAATTTGGGAATGAAGACGGCGGCTGTAACCTCTCACAGTCCATCTCCCACCTCCTTGTCTTCCTCTTCTCTCCCAATTTTTCATGCCTGTCTTGAGATAGATGTTCAGAGAGGCGGGATAAGAGAACATGAGGCCCGGAAGCCTGTGGTGTTAATGTTCTCCCCGTGCTCTTTTGATCTGGCATCAAGGCAGCTGTCATTGATTAGTGTGTTTGCAGATGATTACTGAGGGAAGTGGGTGGTCAGACACAGGTCATATCTCTCTCCCTCATTCACATTTCTTCCAAAGCCCCGCAGTGGAACCGCATTATTAGTAATGCAGACTAACATGACAAAGCTGTTTTTGTGTTTTTTTTGTTTTTTTTTTTGCTAGTATTACCAGCAGGTGCTTTAGCAACTATCTTTACTATGCAAGGCCTCCTGCAACCAGGGAATGTTGCAGCTCCACAGTAATGGGGTGATATTAGTAAGTGATGTCAGCATCTACAAGCCATACCAAGGAAGTTACCTCCCTCCCATTTTCTTGTGGTTGGTCTTGTATGTTTCCCGTTTGTTTGGGAACTAATCATTAGTGCAATGGTTGCCACATGGAATATCTGGCTAGGCATTAATGGTTGCCTTTTGTCCTTTCCTACCTCAGAGACCCAGATAAGAAAAGTCTTACCATGACCTGAACGTTCACCAGGGTTTCTCAGTGCTTGTGCTAATTTCCCTGCAGTTCCCCACCAGTAAAGAAAGGCCACTACGTTGCAGAGGAGAAAACGGTAATTTTATTTTCACATAATAGATCCTATAAAAAGTAAAGCATGCAAAGGAATGCTTGCCTTGTAAGTGTTCCCCTCCAGTTAAATATTTCACAAAATAAATAAATCATTACAATACAGTCAAAACACAGTGGTTAAGTATCAAACATTTGCTTTAAATGTGTGGTATCCTCTATCATTTTAATGCTGTCACGATAAACTGACCGATCACTTCCCTCATCTTACTGTAGTCATCTTCTATTTCTCCCCTTTACGTCTCACAGGAGAATATGGATTTTAAATAACATCTTGAGATACTTCTGCATCTACTACAGTTCATTAGCTGGGACAGTATCTCCTGTGTTGTCCACATTACACACATACTCCAGTTGCAAACTGTTTGGCACAAAAAAAAAAAAAAAGGATAAATATTGCATCCCGTGCCACAGAAAACACAGATATCACCTTCTCCCACCAAATGAAGAATATGATCTCAATCAAAGTTCAGGAGCAGAGACCATATTTTTGTGTAACAGTGTTAGTGCCTTGTTTCCAAATGAGAGATTTCCCAGTGAATGTCTCTATTTTACAGCGTTTCAGTATCAAAAACCTCTCTGTCCAGTGCTGCATATTCTTCCCCCCTCCTGTCGAGTTCTTCAGCTCACACCATAATTGGAAGGAAGTGGGTGGCCGTGTTCTTTCTGCGGGTTTTCTTCCCTTTGAGCGGCTTCCCATGGACGTTCAGACCCACAAACATCTGCCGCTTCTTGTTCCTCCACTCAGCTGATGCGTACGTGTTATAGCCGTTCTCCTCAATCCGCTCCTTCAGGGTGCAGTCGACGCCGAACTCTTTCTGGAAAAAAAACAGTACGTATCATGTGTCAGTGCTGTAACCCCGATGTATGAGGTTAAGGTAAAACACACATCATTTTTCTTGTGAAAATTCACTGTGGTTGCACATGGCCCCATGTTTATTTACTCCTCCTTAATCTACATTGAATGTTTTACTTGTGCTTGTATAGAAACTAGTGTACACTTTGAAAATTGCACAGTTCTCCTAGAGGTTCACGTGTGTGCACTGGCCTGGTTGTAATTCAGAGTGAGCAGCAGCAGCTAGAGAAATAAAGATAAGGCCTCCTGTCATAAGGACAGAAGAATCTAACACTATCTCTCTCTC